GGTACGCCCCCATGTATGCTTCATGTCTCAAACATGCTCTGAGTAAGGAACAGGTCCGAAACCAAGAGGGACGACTCCGTTGCACAGCAGGGGGTCAGAACATTGTACGCAGCCGCAGCCCCATAACCGTTCAAGCTCACGTCTAAGCACATTCACAGGCGGAAACGCACACCCACTGCCAAGGCCGCCGCGATGCAGCTGAAGCGCTCCAAGAAGTCGAAAGGCCCTTGAGCGCGTTTGCTGTCTAGGCCTGCCCTCTTTTGTACAGTGGTCTAGGTCTTCTAGTACTTTGATTGGGATGTAGCTCGTGCCGATGCAGATATATGTACATTTGCCCATGTCATCTACGGAGGGACCGCTAAGACAGAGGCAGTGCAATGGCTGACTGGCTACTGGGGCTATACCCCCATTTAGGAAGTACAAGCTGGGAATGTGCCTGGCGATCACAGATTCGTGAGAATTGATGGTATGACTTGTGCCCGATTTGGCATAATCACGCAAGCCATTCACCCATCACCCTCTTCATCCGTCCCCCGTCGCTCGTCCTCGCAGCATATACAATAATGTCCAGAAGCCGAAAGGGTGGGGGTTTAACTCCCATAGCGCAGGGCAGCGTCGTACGTAGCATGACAACCAGGCGGACGCCGGGGGGAAAGGAAGTTTATATGGAGAGGGAAGATTTCGTGCCCAGCCCACGTCTCCGCAGCCCCCAGAAGGGTCAGCGGCGGCCCTTGAGCGGGAGTGGTACGACTACACCCCGCAAACGGGGCCATATCGGGAGTCCCTCGCCTTCGCCTCGAAAGAGACGGACGGCGGTAAAGGTGCGTGACGTATACTGTGCAGAGATGTCCGTTTAACGAGACTGCAGACTTCAAACGATCACATGCGCGCGTGGTTACATAGACGGGCAGCCTACGAGGACGTCCTCATGCGTCGATTCGAGCCCAGCAAGCACAAGTGTCAATGCGGCGCAGCTACTGCTTCATACCTCTGCGAGACCTGCTTGGGGCGTAAGAGGCAATGCAGAGGCTGCATCCTTCGCGAGCACGCGTCTATGCCCTTCCATCACATCCGAAAGCATGACGGTCGCTCTTCAACGGCTACCGACCTTGGCGCGTTAGGCCAAGTTATCTGGCTGGGCCATGGAGGAGAGCCGTGCCCGGCCACCCTCGCGCACGTCCGGCTTCCTATGGACGAGCGTTGGTGTGATGAGGGGGAAGAGGAGGAGGACGGCGATCTCAGTGACCTCCTCAGGGACTGTGACCTGCGACAGGGACATCGTTTAATTATCGGTGATGTTGAGGGTATCTGGTGTCGTACGGTATACTGGTGTACGTGCCCCACCGCGGAGGATAAGGATATCCAGCTGCTGCACACCGGATTGTACCCGGGTACCGAGGATGAGCCAGCCACTGCGTTCACGTTGACGATGCTGGATGACTTCCTCCTATCGCAGTGCGAGGGTCGGATGTCTGCCCAAGGATATGTCCAGAAGTTGCGGAGGATGGCCAACCCAGCGTTCCCTTATCGAGTTTCGGTGAGTGGGGAATATACGCGATAAGTGACCTTACTAACGAGGCGTAGGATGTCTATAGACCATTCCTGCGCGCCATGCGTCAGTATACGAACATGATCACGAGAGCTAAAGCAGGTGTCGCTCACAAGATTCGGAGAGATCAAGTCCGCATAGCTAGACCGCCGGGAGATCTGGCTTGGCGCTGCCCAGCATGCCCCCAGCCGGGATATAACTTGCCTCCAGAAGACCAGAGAGACGCAGACCATCCGTACGTACCTTGTCGCTCCGACGAGGAAAACAGTGGACTCAACATCCAGTCAGAGAGCTTTACATGCCCATGTTCACGCACGACGGTTGCTTCAAGTTGAACAACCAGCGTACCCGCAATCCCGACGCTGACGTGCGCCTCAGCGATGGCGAGTGCATGCTCGTCGGGAGCAGGCAATACCAGACGCACCTCAAAGTGACCAAGGAGCCCGCCAATGTACGTGCTCTGACCACCGCCCCACCTGTCATCCACGTGACAATTCACTGCAGAGGAAATCCTGTCAGAATCACCGGGCGGTTGCCAGCAGTCGATCGAGAGATCGCAACTTAGCTGCCAGTGGAGTGGGCACATACGCCTGTGCCCGTCATGGTCTGTTCATCCCGCACACCACCGTTGATTACCAGAAAGGCGAAGCGTGCGTACTACAGTCGGAAAGTCGCCAGCATCCCCTGATGGTATGACTGCGTAGGCAAATGAACACAGACTACTCAACCTCATGCCTCATAGAAGGGTTGTCTGCAGAAACGCACAAGATCCTCATCGCCTACGACATCATGTGTGAGTATATCGTCAACCTCAAGACGCGCCTAACCGAAGGACCCTACCTTACCAACCGTGCGATCGACATTGAGGCCGCTGTGGGCAAGTTCCATCTCGGCGCACACATCCGAGAGTGCTTCGCCAAATTCTCCCCCAACTTCATCAAGGGAGCCGGCCAGCTGGACGGCGAGATCCTGGAAACGCTCTGGGCAACCCTAGAGAAGCTGGCCTCCAATACAAGGAGCATGTCACCCGCTCATAGGCAGGAAGTTCTTGATCTGCTCATGAACGACATGAACTGGAAGAAGATCATTCAACTAGGTGGGCGACAAACGGCCGCAGTGAATGATTGACTCACAGGATGGTCGCCTCACGCAGCCGACGTCCTTAAGAAGAAGGCGATGAAGGCCTCCGTCGAGTGCAAGCACGCCCGCGCCGCGTATGAGGAGCTCAAGGACACACTATCCGATCAGCAGACAGCTCGGTGGCTACAAGAGGAGCGCGAGTCCTTGGAGGAGGGCCGAGAGGGAAAGAGCGTGTATGACATACGAGAGGAACAAGGTGAGCCTTGCATGACGGGTCTGCATGCGCCCTTATGGACTGCCGTTTTAGTCCCCGGTGTTGCGGAGCGCGCCCTCGCAGTAGCGAGGCGGTATGAGGATGATGATGTGGAGGAGCCTATCGGGTTAGAGTTGCTGAGGGAGGCCATGAGGATTGAGAGTGTGCAGTGCGTGTCTAGAATGTCACGATGACACTGCGTTTTCTCACAAAGACAAGGGACAACCTACTTCCTCTGGCTAAGCAGCAAAACAGGACGGCCTCGCAAGAGCGTCAGCTGCTGCTCAGACGGGGCAAGCTACACAAAAGGATTTGCAAATTCGAAACACGCATCGCGAAGGTTCTCGATGCTGCCCCCGTGGAGGGCGAGGTTGACTTGGGAGACGAAGAAGTGGAGGAATGGCTTGGAGATGAAGGGGAAGCAGAGAGCGAAGGGGAGGTGGATGAGAGGGAGGGAGAGGGAGAGGATGAGGATGAGGACCCCGACGCGCCTGACGTCGGGCTGCCAGAGCGCGAGCGGCTCACTCTGCCCTCGACCACTGGGCACATCACCGGGGAATTGGCCGACTTGGAGAGGGACCTTCGGGACGGCCAACGAGCGGATGCCCTGCGAGGCGTTAGGCTAGGCCTCGCAGAGAGAGCCCGCTTGTATCGCACCTCCGTGCGTCGCGGCCGAGGGAGTCACAAGACGACTACAAGGGCTTTTGCAGCGTTACGTAAGTCAGGCGCACGCATCGCCCGCCACGTGCGGATGTACCACCGCGCCCGCGACGCCCTAATCGCCCTCGGCAAGGACGAATCGCAGCTACCCAAGATAGATAGTCAAGACCTCCGCATCAACAAGGACTGGACAGAGGAGAACAGGACAGGCCAACGCTCCCATACCTTACCCTGGTTCTGGCGGGTCGGCAACAGTGCGGCCGCGGAAGATGGGACAGAAGCCGCTGGTGTCCATGATCGTAAGCGGGACCAAAGAGCGTTCTTTTGGATACTGATTGGTACTGCAGTATACAGAGTGAGCTTCCTGCGAGCCAAGTGCCGACTGGAGCGATGGGAAGAAGAGGAGCGTCTGGTAAGCCACGAGATGCTGTGGACTCGGCTAGCCTTCGAAAAGCAGCAGGGTACATGGCAAGCGGCAGGGGACGCTGCGAGGTCGTCCACAGAAGGTGCGGGATGGGCTGCGTATGCCTATAACCAAGCGGACATGTGGGGCTCGTTGGTGACTGAATGCGTGACAAAGTTTCAGGACTACGCGGGAACCCTTCCAGGGTGGGAGCCGAGCAGTAGGTAGTAGCTATGATCCATGTACCATGTACATAACCTTGTATCTCCATTGACAAAGTATGAAGGTGAGTGCGTGCCATTGTGGCTGAGAGAGCATGGGCCATCAATGTACCGGCCAATAATGGGTATCTCCCCAGCTTGGCTGGAACCGGCGAGCGCACACGCGGTGGACGACCTGAGGTGGAGCCGCCGCCGAACCGCGTTGGCTGCATCTCATATGGCGGTGCAGGCCCAGCAAAAAAGCAGCGTCTCACATGCAGCCGGCGACTCCGCATGACGTCGACTCTCTTAACACCAGCACCTGCACTTGACACGGCGCCGGCGGCCCAGCCTGTCAAACCAGGTGGGGTGGCAGCCGCCGGCCGGCCGCCTGTGCCGCACGAGCTGGACTAAACCTGGCCGGCCAGTCCACTTCATGTGGTGTGTAATGGAAATAAGGGTCTGCAGCGGCAGTGGCGGGGCGAGGTTGAGGTTGGGAGGTTGAAGGGGTAGATAGGAGGAAGTGGAGAAGGGAGGAGGGAGGCAAGGAGGGAGGTGAGGAAGTGGCAGAAGCATGGGAAGGCAGTTGAGGCAAGCGCGCGAGGACACACACTCACCTTGCTTGCAGCGAGAGGGTGGTGGTTGAGGGCAAAGGGCACAATCGGCTGCGGACGGAAATTCCCTCCGCGTGATCACGTGATCGGAAATTTCCGGAGACCATGCCCTCGGGTACCCGAGAGGATGCAAGGCATGAGCAGAATGTGCTCAATTGCATGCTGACTACAATAAGACTTGCATTTCCGAGTATTCTGATGCATCAAAGCTGCAATGTGAGCCCAGTACACTCTTAATTCGATGATGCTCTTTGGGAAAGGCGGCGGCTCGCCGAGCCGAACCTCCGGGTCACGTGCGCGGTCGGAAAAGATCGGATGCGCTGCTGCGCACCCTCTCTTGCTCGTCCACCACCACCACTACTGCGCTCCCTGCGGCCAGCGTGCACCCCAATCCCCTCTCTCCTCTATTTTCACCCTCCCCACCTCCTTCTCTGGCTTCCCCGACGCCCTCATCTCGCCTTACCGCGCTCAACAGCGACTTCGCGCTGATAGTGAGCAGGAGGGCATTGCCGGGCTCTCCACACCCGCCCTGTTGCCCACGCCGCCTGGGCTGTCCAGCGCCGCCCACCCTCCTATCCCCATCCCTCTTCCACCCACCACACCCGTCTTCGTCGTGCCACGTATGTGACGACGTGGCACGTCACGTGACGTGTCGCCATGGTGCGACACCCAGCACTGATTCATCCACTGCGGGCACAATGCGCACACCCTTCCCCACGCGAGGTGGGGATCGCTCAGTGCAGCCCGGGGTGTGCCGTTGTTGCCATTGCGACAACGGTGCAGCTGAGCGAGTGGGAGCACCCACCCATTGATATCGCACACCAGGACGTGCGTGCGATGCGATCCATCGCGCTGCGCGTCACTGTATGGTGATTTGTCATGTGGCGAGCTGTGCACTCGCGCGACGTGTAGGTGATGACCACATCAGTGCGCGCAGTTAGTAGGAGTGAGGGCAGTGCCATCCCAAGCGTGTGCAGCCCGAAGGCCAGCACGCGTGGAGGGGAGCGGGCAGGACATGTGTGCTCGTGGTGCGGACCGCATTTTGGCGCGGTTTCGGCATTTTCCGAGAGCACGCGTGAGAGCAGCAAGCTCGCGAATGCACGTGCGCCTGCGAGCGCAGTCAGGGCAAGCGGGTGCGCGACGAGTGCGCGTGTTGGGTTGGTGGAGGGCGGGAGGGGGCAATGGGAAGGGCATGGGTGAGATCAGGTCCTGCCAGTGGTGGATATCAGTGGGGTACACAACTAGTTGTACAGTACAAATTTGTATGCATCAATTGATAGTCCTGAATAGAAATCTTGTAAAAAAACTAATTCTTCACCTATTTTGACTGAAGGGATAGAACTAGTTCTAAGGTGTGTTTTATTGCTACCAGTATGAGCCCAAGATCTCTTCCTGAGGCCAATCTGACTGATGGCCAAAACTAGTTGCTATGCTAATCTAATTGAGCGCCTGATCTAGTTGTACAGCCAGACTTACTGATGCATTGCAACTAATCTCAGAGCCAAACTAGTGAGAGAGCCCTCACAAATTACTGAGAAACAACGCAATGTGGGTGTTACAATTTTGTGTCTTGAACCAGGATGTTGCTACTTGCAGTAGTGAACGTTTTGGAACAGTCTATTCCATCCAGGTCCTGTCTCTCCATCCGCTGGCACATCGTACTCCAGGTCCTCTCCGTACGTCTCAGGGTATGCAGCATCCTCGTCGTCCTCCTGCTCTACTTCAAAATTAAGACCGCCGACTCGCCTCTTCTTCTTCAGCTCGCTCCTATAATCGTCGCGCGCGTCTGCGCATTCGTACCTCAAGTTGAAGTTCTCCATCAACTGCAGGTGCCGCTCCTTGAACACTTGCCGCCGGAAGGCATAGTCCCAATTATATCCTGCGTACCGCAAATCGCGACCGCGGCGCCATGGCACGAAGAGAGTAAGCATCGTCGCGCAATAATACTCGCGGTCCCCTTGATCATTCCTAGGGATAGCGCCTCCTACGAAATTAGGAACGAGATAGTTCCTCTTCGAAGGGTCGCACCACACATGGTGAGATTTGTGCTGTGGATGAGTATCGAGAAAGGGCACGTAAGGAGGCTGACGATTGACAGCCATTGGGGAAGTTTGCGAGCCGTCCATCAAGTCCACCGACTTTGGATACCTTCCCAGATCTTCAAGGACATCTGGCGCACCGTCAACTCCCAAGGTACCCTTGATATCGTGGAATTTATCTTCGTTGGCCTCATCGTCGGGCTCATGATCAGCGCAGGCTACATCGTCCCCGTATTTATCGAGGAAAGCCTTCAGTTGGTTAGGCGTGCGCTTCGACTTCCTCGCGCATTGGACCCACTCGAACAAGCAATAGTTCTCGAACTTTCGGGGCCTGTGTACGTAGTCATCGACTACGGACGTTCCAATCAACTGACCTTGCTCTTTCTTCAAGACTAGACGTTCCTCGAACGTGTTGGAGGCTGTCGCGTCCGGCCAATCCTCCAGTACTCTATTTACGTAGTTTTTCCACCAGATTAACACGAACTCGTGACTCTTATAGTGGTCTGGCATCCCAAGGAGGTACGAGGCAGCAAATGGACTGCCAATCTCCATGCGTGGCGCGAGGGCGTTGACCATCTTCATCATCAGCCTTCGAGCACTTGCGGCGTCTGTTACATCGCCTTGGAAAGCGGGCCCGTGACGCTCGAATACAGATTTGATACACGACATTATGTGGTACGTCTTCAGCGAGCACTTTGTGATATAATCTGATACGTATAATACGACTGCCTTCATAGACGTGCCCGATTGCAAGCTGGTGGTGTCAGTGTTCCCCCTTGTAAGATAGGTGAGTACGGGTGTCACGCAATTCATCATGACTTCTTTTTTGACGAGGTAGATCGCCCCGGTGAGCCTATCGACGTACGACGCGCTCACGTAGTCCCTAGGGAAGCGCGCGTCGCAGATATCGTCGTCACCTTTGCAACCCTTAACTCCTTCAAAGGGATCTTTCTTACCCTGAGCCGTAGCAGACGCCGTCCGCGCACCTCTCTTGCGAATGCACCGGTGCATTTGTACTCTGAATATCAGATCATCAACAGTACGCTTGAAAGCGGACCACCACGATGTGCGCAGGTCCTTGCATTTACACGAATCGCGTGTGCATGAACACAGCGCAGGAGGCGGATCGGGTAATGTCTGCGTAGGATCCTCGTATTTTGGTGAGTGCTTCGCAGGATCTTCGCTCCCTGCCTGTACATCGGGATCGGGCGCCGCTTTGTACAGACGGTGTATGTCGCCATCGTCTTCGCCTTTTGCTCTGAATGGCACTCGGGCTTTTACGGTTTCCAGATCTCCCGTCAAGAACTGACCTGTTTGCATCTCTTCTAGGTAGCGGATCATCTCGCGCTCGAATGCGCTATCCTCGCTGAGTAGTCGGTCACGTATTGCTTGCGGTGAAGGCGCACCTCGAACCCATATCAATGAGTGGAGGTGGAGCGTAAGTCGACCCTGTTGTTCGACTGCCGCGTAGTACGCGGATGTAGGTCCATACAAACCTCGGTGAGCAGACCCGACGCCTAGGACGTGTTTAATGAATGCTTTAACCATGACATTGAAAAAGCGGGCTGCGGCCACAGGATTCCGTGCTACTAAGTCGCTGCGCTCTTTCCAGGTTCTCAACGTCGGCTTGAACTCAAGGTTCTTGTCCGCGAAGTATAGCGCTATTGGATGGCTACTGTCGGACGGCGACAAAGTCACGAACCAGGAAGGTGCGCCGATGAAGTTAATGAGTGACCATATTTCGTTCCTCATGTATTTCTTCGCCGTTACAGATCCTTGTACGTGGGCACCTATGAAGTCCAGACTGCGCATAATGTCGAAGCAGTTGCGCTCGTCTTCGGTCTCGGGAATGACACCTTCGCCCTCCTCTAGCCTGCGAGTCAGACGGCCGAGGGTGTTCACGTTGAGAACTGATAGCTTATCCATAATTCGGGGAAAATCTGCGCGTTTGACCATGATGTTGCTGGCTGTCGAGCTAGCGGCGATCTGCTCGTGGTTAAATGCGATCATTGGAAAATACAGGTCTTCCTGAAACCGCTTGTCGTAGTACATGAGCAAGTGTTCCTTATGCGCCTTTGGAGACAAAGCACCGCTATCTTTTAAGAACATTCCGATGCCCCCGAGTCCGTAGGGAAAAAGCCAAGGAAACATCGCGGGGTACGCTTTGGGATTGTCGAACATACCTTCGGGCTTGTCGTCGTGGCCGACACCTAATACAGCATGTCCATTTTTCAGATGGTCGAGCGCCGCGGATTTCAACTGATTTATTGTCATGCGAGAGTATCTCTCGGACGTTAGTCCATGAACGACAAAGGGGCAGGGACCGTGATCCGGAGCGTCCACGTCTTCATTCGCCACGCTGGTGGCGGTTGCTTCCTGGATAGTATCATCTTCCGCCAGCTGGCGAAATTCCCATACGAGGGGGTCTGCGACGCGGTAACTTTCCAAATTTTCCTTCGAAATCTCAACGTCGTGGAATGACGGGTGATTAGGACATAACCAACGCAACGCATTCTCTACCACATCTAACCTCATGAGCATAGGGGTCCTGGCGAATTCCTCTGGCGTCGGTCTAGCGGTACCGAGGAAGGTGAACGCAACGACCTCGTTAAGCTCCTCGCGATGAGGAGGAAGTATTTTCCGAACCTGAGGGAGGGGACTGGAAAACATGACCGCGTTGGCAATCATCTTCCCTCGACCCGAACGCACGCGAACGACGGTGCGATTATGGCGTATCTTACTTATCATTTGCATCTCGGCGTAAGATAGACCTTTGAGAACTTCAGGTACTTCGCCTATCCAAAGACCATTTGCCAAGGACTTTAGAGGTCGTCTGCCGTTCACGAGGGAATCATAGCAAGATACGCACACACGATCGCACCCATCCGCAAGCACTGGGCCGTCTATGTGCTTGATTCGCTCGTTAGAGGAATGGCGCTCGAGGCGAGTAGCATGAGGCTCGATCAGAAGGGATAGATCTAACTTACGATCTTTGACTGATCTTGAGGACGCACGATTGCAAAGACTTCCGCAGCACGCGCATCCCACCTCTTCTATGGCCATTTTCGACGTCTCCGAACAAAACCCTCTAACGATTTCCTCTACGAGCTCGTCAGTGACTGGTTCTGGGGGATACTGGTGAACATCGTCGACTGTATGCACACAAGGCTTAGAGACACCCACCTTTGAGCGCTTCGCGTAATCCTTCTTATTCCTTTCACGCCTGGTAAGGACCTTTTTGAATACAGCCACACAGGGTGTCGTAGCGCAGTTCTCGTTGCATTCGTGCGCACTTAGGTTCAAGCGCGCTTCTCCGACGTCCCATAGACTTGACCATTCGACGTCGTGCATGACACTTGCCGTTTTCAACTTGGCCTTGGTCAGGTGCCACACGACGTTGGGGAAAGGGATGTCCACTATTACCAGATTGTCTTCGCGAGCGCGCGCTATCATGTTTTCCTTCTCCCCGTATGATACGAGTACAAATTCTGAAGCATCGTTGACATCGTCTGGATGATCACCTATCACGTACTTGCGCAGACTCGCCCAGTTGGGCCGCTTGGGACCTCCTCCCAGTATGAACTTCATGGTTCTGTGAAGAGCGCGCCGGCCAAGAGGTCGACTATGGGGGAGAGAATGTTCGCTATTGAGATATACAGCTCGAGGACGATCGAAGAAGGGATACAACGGCGCAAAGAGGACGGTAGATAGCCCGAGGTGTAAAGGCAGATGCAACAGAAGAGGCGCGCCATCGATTTGAAGGGTGAAATCTGTGATTGCGAGTCCATGGGAATTGCCCGCGCGATACGCCCTATAATCCCAGCGTCTCATGAAGTTCCTGCACATGCGGGCCCTAACCGCGAGCACGTTTGTCCTTACTGACAAAGAGCCAGAGATAATGGGTGTTTGGCAGTAAAAGATGTATGAGATTAGCGCAGGAACACGCGGAATTGCATGTAGAAAAGCACCTACGTGAAGGTCAAGGTTGTAGTCGATTAGATGGCGCGCTCTGGGCTTTGTCACTATCGCATCCGATGCGTAGGGATAGATGATTGAATTGTTGAAAGCGGACATATCGGTATGTAGGCACAAACGACGACGCTGGACGGGTACAGGAGATTGATGATATGGGAGGCTGCGCGACGGCAGAGACATGACGAATCCGCTTAGGAGGAAAAGCGGACGGGACGGAGTAAACACGTCTGCGCGGAGGATTGCAGACGGCGACGAAAGAAGCATGTGGACAGGAGATTGCCACAGCGACGATGGGTACATGACACGCCCTGAAGGACATGCCAGCGACGATGGGAATATGACACGCCCTGAGGGACATGCCAGCGACGACGGGTAGTTGACCAGGAGGGACGAATGCGATACTGCTCCGTCGGTCGGTTCGCTGTGGCGATGCTGAGGCAGGAGGGTCGTATTTGAGACACCCCCGAAGGGGGCCTTCGAGTGTAGGGTACATGGTAGTTCGGATCGATCGAAGTCGAGGACGAGCTGAGGGCGTCGGACCAGGAGGGACTTCAATTTCTGACTGGTGGGTACGCGAGCAGATGATTCGCCGGCGCAGAACGTGACAACGAGGGCAACCACGACGAAGCACGACACGAGCGTCGTATACACGTATAGATGGCGCTTCATCTCTGTCTATACCACTGTTAGCTGCGTACTTTGGGGGTAAGCATAGCCGCGCACGCAATATCCACAGCCAGCGATCGAAGGTAGACAGCCGGTCGATGTTCAATGGTCGCGGAGAAGGCAGATGGTGGTCGGTACGAACCGGGAACGAGCCATTTCCTGTCGGAGATATGTCCGTATAAGGAGAAATCTCGCGGTCGACTACCGCCGCACGCCACTGTGCACCGCTTTTCTTATCGGACTCGTCTTATCCGGACAGCAAGCTCACAATGATACTGCGACGAAGAACGATGAAGCCGAATGCAACTGGCATTGGGCTGCTACGTAAGAAAAGAATACAATAGTGTACGAGAGATAAACGATATAAGATGCACGCCCAGGCGTGACGTCCATTGGCATAGGTGGAGGTGCATAGGAGGGCATATACGTGTATGTATAGAGGTAAGGCATAGAGGGAAGGCATATAGAGAGGAGGAGATGCGCATGGGCTATTGTACAGAGTAAGGGTAGGCATATGCGGTGGCCAGCACGCGCGTGGTACTGTAGGGGGATGGCATACGGGTCAGGCTGTAGAAGAGCAGAGAGCGTCGCCTTAGACGAAGCCAGCAGGGAGCGAACCGAGAAGGATAATGTACACGAGGTTGTACTGAACGTTGTAGGAGGGGGGCGAGGAACGAGTGCCTACCCACATGTTAGTCGTATGCGCGACGAGGGCGACAGCGTCTTTAGGTGGTACGCCCTCGTAGACGGGCAAGCTCGTATGCCAGGTAGACATATCGCGCGGCAGAGGCACCGAGCGTGCGTCGAGGATAGTCACTGAAGACGAGTTAGAGCAAGAAGAGACGATGATTGTTACACGTACTGCTGTCGTTCGTGGATAGTTCAAAGTTTGAACCGCAACGAGGCGGTTGCGCTGCGTTCTTGCCCCGGCGGATGGAGGAGCTGGGCTTGACCTTGCCGCTAGTCGGACCACCTATGACGATGTGAGAAAGAGAAGGAGGATAGCGCCTCGAGCAAGTATACCTGACGGTCGATCAAAGGAGGGCAGCGTCGACATCCTGATGGCGTTGTTGAACGCGATGCAGTACAACTCGCGCTGGCCAAACTTCATGCACTCCAGGGCGACGGCGCGGTCGAAGCACCCCTCGAAGGGTGTGACGCAAATATAGTAGACGGGGTGCGGTCCTGCTGTTGGGTTGTCGAGACGCCAGTACCTGACGATGCAGGGGGTGATGGACACTGCGGGGGCCCGTGTCTCCTTGATGACGATCTTGTATCGCGTTGTGCCCGAGGGAGGAGACACGTCGACCGCCTCGAGCTCTTCTGGATCAACCTGGGACTCGTTGATGTACGGTCCATGCCGGCGAAACTGCATGCCGCGAAGAAGATTGCTGAAGGGAATTATCAGACCCATGACATCGAGGGGAAGATAGGCAACGGACCCGACGTGTACATGAGTCTCTGCAGCAGCGACGATATCGACGGAGGGTGTGCCCCAACCTTCGTCCTTGTAGTCGGACAATATCAGCGCGCAATCGCTGTGAAGAGTGAGTATATAAGCTTGTGATAACGAATACTCACTCACCCGGGCACGTTGAACGTGTTCTCGGAGTATCCCATGCGCGCCAACGTGTCGCACGCGAACGGTGTCCAGGAGTGGACAGGGGAGCCTGGGGTTATGACGCTGGTAGTATGTTAGCAACAGTCCAAAGTAGGTTCACGATGTATAGTTACAGAGGGGGGCAAACAGGCGCACTCGAATCGACAGCGGTAGACCCTGGGTGTAGGCCGCTAATGGCATCTGCCAGAGGGATCTTCGCAGTCTGCCACGCGGTCTGAATAATGAGTTAGGATGAACGAAACACGAGCAGACGTTTGCAACTTACATTCGTGACAGCAGTGGAGTGTCCATCGGGGACGGAGACATCGGCATCTTCTGCTGCTCGCGTCGCAGGGGCATGCGCACCCGAAGGACCTGCGACAGGTACAGGTGGAGGAGAAGGTGGCGGGGGAGGAGCACGACCCTTGCCCTTGTCAAGCCTGTGCGAAGATTAGTCACAAAGGATGGCACATGAGGAGCGTACAAACGTAGGGACGATCTCGATGTCGGAAAAGCTACAAATGTATCAGAAGAGACCAAGACGTAATCAAAGTGAGCGCACTCATCGGTCTTCGCGGACTTGTCGCTCACGGGCGCGCGATCGCCATGTCCACCGCGTTTGAACAACCTGCGAAGTGGATATTCAGGCGCAGAACAAAATGATATTATGACATATCAACTCACCTTCTCGGGCGCGTATCCTCTTCATCAGGCAAGACCGGAGCGTCTTCGTCGTACTCAACAACGTCGTCGTTGACGACAAAGTCCTTGAGGTTGCCATCGCCATCCTCCTCGTCCTCCTCGTCTGAGCAGGCGGCCTCGGTGTCGAGGAAGGCAGACACGCGTACCTCCTTGAGAAGGTCCTCGACGCTGCAGGTTCTCGAAGTTGGTCGAACACAAAGACAGTAGTGAAGGTTGCACGCACGCAGGTATTTTCTCCCCCCGACGCATGGACCGTAATATACGCCTGTAGAGTCGTCAACATCGACAAAATAAATGATAAAGGACAAAAAGTACTTACTCTAGAGCCTTAACATCGGACTCATCTGTTTGGTCGGGGGACTCGAAAGGCGACGCGATGCCCCCCTTGGTCGTCAAGGGCGTCTTGTAAGTGCGAGTCGGAACCGGACTGACCGAAGGCGAGGCGACCCTCGCTTTCTTCTTCGGACTGCTCTGAACAGGAGGTGGGCTGGACTCGGAGCTAAGGATGATGTTAGATGATGAACAAGGACGCATTCCTAGGTACATACCTGGTCCTCGTGCGTCGGGTATTCATCCACCTAGCGGTGGTAGGCCTGGTGTGCAGGTGAGACTCGAACAAAAAGACGCAAGGAGGACGTACTCGTTCCGTTTGCGTCTCGCAGAGGTGGACTTGGTCACGCTGCAACAGGACATGAGCAGCTGTTAATCGAAGACCAACAAAGGGATGAGCGCCATTACGCACGCAGCAGGCGTATCCCGGTGTAGAGCGAGAGCCCGCTCAGCTGACTCCTTCGTCACGATCTCGGGGAAGCCTTCGTAAGGATCGCTGCTACAACGAAGACGAAGGTTAGCATAAACAGCAAGGCGCGATGAACATTCACGCACTCGTCCCCATCTTGAACCGTATCCGGCTCATCGCCACCTACGTTGCCGCGAACGTGGCCATCACCGTTATCGGCAACGGGGGCATCCTCGAAGATCAAGCTGGCGTATGGTGAACGAAGTGCGTAAGAATGACACAGTAAAGTCTCACAGAGGATCGTGACCAGTAGGAAGGGGACCCTTGCGAGTTGACGAGGAAACACCCCCGGCGCGACGCTTAGCGTTCGGGGTAGGAGTCGACGGCAGCCTTGCAACATACGGTGAGCAAGAAGTACCGGGGTAATAGTATCAAAGCTTACATGCGCCCCTCTAGAGTGAGCTGAGCCATCTTGGAAGAAGGCGTAGATGCCGCGGTATCGGGTACAGCGAAGGAGTTGGATGCGTTACCACGGACGCGGGGCGTGCTTGGAACCGGGCTAGAATTGCGTCAGTCGGGACTACAGGCACATGAAGCACCACTTACACCGCAGCCTTGGGACGAGGGGGCGTCGTATTCGCGGGGGGGAGGGATTCCGCAGAGGGCGCGTTACTAGGTAGTGAGTCAGCGGAGAGGATGACAACGGTAGGATGGATGTAGGCGCACCTATCGATCGCTCCAACGTTGACGTACCCATCTGCGGTCACGTCCATATCCGCGTCGACGCCAGCACGGTCACTGATCGTGAACGGATGATCAGCAGAAGAGAGTGGACCCCGTCGTATGCCACTCACGCGTTGGACGTAGAAGGCTGCTCAGGTGCGACGGTCGTCGCGGACGAGGGAATGCTTGAGTAATAGAGTCAGGGGTATGTATGTGGACGAGGCAGGAAGACGGGGACATACTGGGCTCCAGGCTGATGCTGAAAGAAGAAGCTGATCATCGCTTGCATTTGCTCTGGCGTGACGCCGGCGAGAGACGGAGGAAGAGGGATCCTGCGTGGCGATAGTCAGCCGTCGTCGACATCGCCCGTTGAACAACGTACTGCGTCATATCGGGAGGATACTGGTAAGACGGAGAGGTTTCAGCGTCGCGGGAGAGGGCGGGCGAAAGACGATGGATTTTAGCCAGAGAGGTGCGTTTCTTGCAGGCTAAGTTCTCGGGGAACCGAGTGAGCGTGCTTTATGAAGCACAGGGTCGGAGAGAAACGGACAGTCTGCGTCCAATGACAGGACGAGGAGATGGGCGCGACAAGGTATTATCGAACGAGGGTACAAGGATAAAACATGTATGCGGGCGGGCCGCGTCGGGAGATCTCGTATCGACGAGATATGCGCCCACAGGGGGGAGTAGGTTGCGAACAGGTTCCCGATTCGGCACAAATTCGCGACGTCGCGCGATCCCTCGAACTTCGTACCCTGTCGGCTGTCGCAGCTGTTCCCCCACGGCGTGCGTATCGTTCCTTGTCCATGCATCGCCATGCGGTCGCGGCCCAGCCACAGGAACCTTCGTATGATGGGGTACCAAGCAGATGGATGGAAAACCGGCGTGGTCGACTGCAAGCTCATAGGATAGCCGACCGTCGAGTCGCCAGAACAGAAAGAGTATATCGCGCGCGTACGTTGCTTTATGCACGCGCGAACAGAGGACATGAAGAACAGCCGCAGTTGAGCCTGGTCGATGTGGAGCCAGAACCAGGAAGCCGAGGCCGAATTTCAGTCGGGGCGCGGAAGCATAATTTGGTCGGCAAAGGATCACGACGTCAGGAGCGCACCCTTTAAGAGCGTACCGCGAGCGCGATGTCGGCCCCCCTCGCCCATCATATCGCAAGCATGGACGTCCTCGAACACATCGACTGGGATGCAGCGAGTAAGTTCGTGGCTGAGACCAACCGGAATGCGTGACTGACCACGTCACAGAGCACGCGATCGAAAGCTTCATGACTAAACACGGACAAACAGAGCGCCTGCCGCCCAACAGCTTGTATGTCACCGATGACTTCGAGGTGTGTCCACGTCCGCGATTCGAGCGCGCGCGTACTAACAAATTCCAGACGCTCGATCTAAGGGTCGATACCGAAGAAAATGCGACATACACTTCTTTCCGTCTCCAATCTCAGGAGGAGGATCAGGACGAGCCTAAGGAGGTTACCATGTACACGGTGGGCGTTTTGACGCAGAAGTTGCTTCCTCCCTTCAAGCCTAAGCGGTAAGAGATCTGGTCAACTTACCCCAGAGCGCATATCTGACACCATAGCAGGAAGTACTACACTGGTTGGGACACCGTCTTCAAGACCTTCCGCCAGAGCGTCACCTTGCACGGCGCCGGCGCTATCCCCCTGGTGAAGGCGGTTAACTGCGCCAAGTACTGCTTTGTCATTTTGGATCGTAATGCTGCGAAGTCGTCTACTTTTCCTTCGGAGCGCGTCTGCGTCGACAACTTCGTGGTCACCAATCCATACTTCGAGGTCGGACAGGACGCGAAGGGTAAGGATAAGGTCGTATTCACGAAGCTGGTCGATCCCTTCGACGATCTAAACCGCCAGCAAGGCGACGGCTGTGTCCACACCGCCGACAACGTTGTACAGTATCTCGAAGGATACGAGAACGATGACGGGGTCTTCAGGTGAATGACCATGCACCCTCTCCTATACACGCGCTGACCATGTATTCAGGCACTCGTCTGTCACTCCCTCGCGCTTCCGGCCAGGGGATATAGTACGCGTGGGCTTTACAGTGCGGATGAAGCAGGATAAGGCGTACAACAACGCGTCGTCGGAGCTGGACCTGATCCTCAAGTCCGTCACGCTCATCGACGATACGTTGTCGAAGGTATGATTCGCTTCTTTACTTTCGTCCGTACAGAGCCTCACCCCCCTTAACATCAGACAATCGCCATCAAACAGCTCGACGAGCCGGTCGGGAACGGCAAGAAGCGCGCTGCGGTGACACATAACGCGCTGTCGGAGGACGTAGAAGAGCGGCCTATATCGAAGGTACGCAAAGCGATGGCGAAGCTTTCCATCCGAGGCGGTGCAATGGACGTCAATAACCGCAACGACCCCAACGGCGGATCCGATACCGCGGGCGGTTCAGGCAGCGCGGGTGGGTCTGGTCTGGTAGTGTAGTCCGTAGGTACCCGTACGTGCAGTTGAACGCAACCGCACTTATTTTGTAAGCGTCAGCTACATCAGAAATCTGCTCGTCAAGTGATATGTCATCGACAAGCAACCGTGCGAGTATCGAGGTAGGTGAAGAGTGGCGCATCCGCACCGGATGCGAGGACACAGCGGTTGCTATTATCAACTCCCTCACGCATGACGGGTAAGCGCGGGCGCATGGAGGAGATGGGGACGAGAATATTCGCCCGATGCACGCGCACCTGTTCACGTCGAGCGACGATTCGTGGGAGGGGACGGGAAGGGGGATAGAGTTAAAGTCGGTGCCTTGGTACGCGCCCCCGTAGCGCACACCTTCAACATCGACGATGAGTACGTGCACCAAGCATCAATGTACATTCAATGAGAAAGATACAACACAGCAGCAACGGTAGGTAAAACTACAAAAGAAATAATAACAATGATGCTGCGGGTACGGAGGTATAGCCACCTGGTCATGCGATAAGCTGTGTACACGACCACCTTCGACGACGACGCAATAAGTATCTTTCCCTCCTTCTCGTAGAACCGACGAGGCGAGAGAGAGCGACAGTCACTGTATATGGAGGCGTTGTAGCGATCCAATACAGCGTGGCGCGGCGTCCAGTCACCCCCACCGCTGGGAACAACATCTCCGACGCCCCAGACACGAATATCGCTACCGAGAGTTTGAGGTCCAGGGGGAACAATAGCTCCTGCACAGATCAGACCGCGATCAATACCGATAGATAATGTGCGCACCGTCCACGACGAAGTCGGCGTTGAAAGAGAACGAACTAGCGGTGAAGTGAGGCCACACGCCCATCTCGTACTCATGCAGCACAACGTGCATAATGGGCACGAGGATGTAAGCGTCGAGGTAGGAGTCTACAAGACATATTCAGGGATGCCATGCAGCATGCGCTTGGGAAGTACTCACATTCGATCTGCTCGACGGATAACGCAGGCGCCGACCAGTCGCTAGTCTGCTGAAGCTTGTCGACCTTGACGCCGAGAACGATGCGCGCCATGTCGTCGAGCGAGATGTGGGTGGTGAGAGGAGCCACTTCAATGGAGGGATGCATGCTCTTCCAGAGCTGACTAATCTCCCACCCGTTGTGAACGGGGACCGCGAAGTGACGAAGGAGGAGGATCGAGTCGCCTGGGTGCAATCAGACAGGACATACGACAGAAGAGCGCGGCAAGCCTCACCCTTGAGCTCGACGCCGACTTTGATGATGTTGGGATCGCGCAACATCTCAATCAATCGCGCCGGTACACCTGCAGCGACAGTGAGCTCAAGGACAACGACCAGGAGGTACGCATACGCACCCGCGAGTACCAACAGATCGAAAGCGATGACGACTCCATCGCGGGCGATCGTGAGGAGACGGATGAAGTGATCCTGCGTCCGCGGAAGCGGTATAGACATCGGCCTGATAGCAACATCGCTGTGCTTCCGGCCGGTGTACTCGACGTCGAAGGCGAGGACCCTGAAGTGCGAGCCGGGACCCGTCGACGGGAAGTGGGCGGCTAGCAAGGCATCCGTGTGCGCCATGTCCTGGGCGTAGAACCGGCGGACACTAGCGGGTAGCGTCGCCGGGTTGAAGACGCGGGACCGTGCGTAGGACAAAGGAAAAGACATGGTATGCGAGGGAGGGAGGCGGGAAGGGCGAGAAGCTTGCGAGGAGATGATGGGAGTGATAGGAAAGGAGAGATTCGGAGGGACCGTACCTTATATAAAGGCGCCATCGCGTGGATTACCGAACCAGTGATAATATGTCGACCAATTATTCTGTCCCCCAAAGGCGGAGGTCACGAATGGTCACAGCTCCTCAGATGTAGATCCACATGCCGGCTGAACCGATAGGACCGACGTAGCGGATCCATTACGCCGTGGGGGAAAGTGACAGAACCCTCGATACAAGGTACCAGCCGAAGAGAACGATTGATAATGTAGCGCAAACCGCCATACCAGCCATTGCAGATACAGATGGGCACGCTTAGGTCGAGCAACGACGCACGAAGGCGACAGAAGACGAGGAGGTGAAGTCGCCAAGCATATCGTTAGGGGGTTGAAGGAAAGGGACACGAGGAGCACGTAGATGTACTTGCCCGATTTGGAACAAATTGGCAAACGTGGAATTCCAATTACCAAACTTCGATCCTCCGACCACCATAGGTCACAACATTGTACAACACGGACCACGCGCGCAGTTCACGATGACGAATACACCGTCTCCCTCATCATCAAGCAGCTCGTCGGTGGTGCCTTCCAAGCGAAAGTGGACCAGTAAGACAATGAAGACCTGGGTCGCTACAGATCCATCATCAACGGAACCTAACGTACATCACGGGGACAAGAGATCCGCGGCTAGGGCGGAGAAAATAAGGAAGTCAGTTCCTGCGAATTCCCAAAGCAGAAGCGGGCGCTAAATACGACGAGTACAGGATGAAGGAAGAGCGCGCCGCCGCTCAACGCGCTCCTCCGAAGTACCGCATGATACATCCGCCGCCACCGCGGCCTGCGCAGACCCCAACAACGCCTGCATTCTCTCTGAATAATCTAATCCCCTTCGACGACGAATACAAGAAGGAACATGATGAGTATTGTAAGACTTGCGCTAAGGGGCAAATATGAAGTACTCCCTAACCCGATTGGCAGACGCGACTGCGTATAGCGAGGGCGGTTCACCTCCCACAAATGATGTCGGTAAACCGTCGCTCTGCTCATCGACGAGGACCGGCTCTCAAATACCATACGAGGCGGCAGACGCGTCGGCAGAAACCGGATACGCATACCCTACGAATCGAAGTAAGCAACACCACCGGTGCAAATCACGCATATAGCGATGCTTACTGAAACCTTCGAAGTTGAGGGGCATGCAGACGGGGCCAGCACCATGAATGGATACAGCGAGGACGTCGACATGCAGCCTGCCACCACAGATGGAAGAAGTCAGGCCGAGAACAAAGGTGAGCAAACTCATACATCGCGGTTACCATTTTTGACGCTGTCTAGGGGATACCGGGGGAGACATGGACATCGACGACGTCGAAGAGATCAACACGAACTCGCTACACGCCCCGTCACATACGAAGGACTCAGTGGGGACGGATATAGGGGGGGTTACTGGCATTCACTGTGCGCATCTTCCCGCTCAACATACTTCCTCCACAAGGGCGTAGTGCTCACGATGACTTAGCGAACGATAGGAGTGACGGACGTGCTCTTCGAATGCGGAGTCAGCCCCGCACTACCAAGGACGCGACGACGCTCACGACCCAGACGGAGAACATGCAGGAGTCCTACCCCGGTCAGCGACTTTCTCTTAAGCTAAAGTTGAAGTACTGAAATGACCGTAGCAGCTTCAGCACCGTGTGGTGAAGCTACGTACGCCGATGCAGGTGTTCAGACGACGCCTCCCCCGCCTCCGCCTGCACTTCGCGACGCATCCACCACGACGGCGGATGTCAGGGAAGATTCACACCAGTCAGTTAGTCGTCGCAACGCATCCACCACAACATTGGACTTCGTGCAAGATCCTCAAGCGAACAAGAACGCGCATGGATCATCAGTAATGGATCTGATGGCAAGCGAGCGTCAATGCGGAGTCGCGAACGTCTGCACCTCAACCAACATGGAGCGGACGAAGGACAAGTTCAACGAGGGGTGGAGGCGATTCGGGCCTCAAGGGAGGGACATAAGCGGCTACGTACCACGCTATCCCCACACACCTACAGTGACCTGGCCGACGCAGCTAGTGACAACCACGCCTTACATTCCAGACCTTCGCAGGGGAAAGAGCGGGAGAAACAAACTGAAATGGGTACGTACACGAGCGCACCTCGACGCTGACGAACACTGATACAAGTCAGGATCGGACGTACGTCAACAACATCGCCAAGAAGTTCAAAAGCTCTAGAGACAGACCGGACCTATGCGTTCACGCAAAGTTCACGACGTTAGACGCAGCATTCGAGCTCATCGACAAGTGCAACGTGAATGGTGTGCCCCTGGTGTTTGACGACTTCCCGGACTCTGCAAGGTGGGCGTTCGCGGCGTCGAAGGTAGATGAGGACCCTTTTATGAAGCCGGTCACCTGGTCTACCAATCGTATACGCGGTGTGGTGGGCGCGAACCTGGATACTCCGCGCGACTTTCAAGGTATGATTCATGACGAGTGGCCGCTCATTTCGCTGACCTCCCCAGACGCGGCACTTAGAGAAGCGAAGCCGATGCGGCCATACGTGACAGCGACGCTGCGCGAGTTTCACACCTGGCTGAAGATGCCGGGTAAAGTGCGCTGCATCCTGGACCTGACGTGCGGCTTTCGCCAAGCGGACCAGGTGACGGAGTGCGTACAATTCGCAACATGCGTACGATGGTGCTGACACAAGTAATCAGTAAGTTAGCCGACAACGTCGTCGAGTCGTTCTCGTCCACATTCGGAAACATGTACGCTGGCCACTTCGACATCGCGGCCGACGTCATGAAGACCCTAGACTGGTTCTTGCTTCACACGGCGGGTTTCCTAACATTCGGCCACATCGACGCGAGCGGAATGGCAACGTCCGCGGAGATTCGAGGGGCAGGTTTGAAGGAATGGATCGTATTCTCAGCTACGAATATGCCTCAACCAAAGCGAGGAGATACGAGGCAGGAAAGGAGACGCATCCGATCGCGCCTCATCCAGCGCATACGGGACTTAATCACCGCCGCGTCCTCAGACGATCTCAAGCCGCAGAAGAAACGAGAAGGCGACGCAGACTGGGATGTCGACGGTTGCGTCATTGAGCTCAGGCCCGGAATGAAGTAGTGAGCGAACAAGTACACGACGACGAGCAGACAAATACTCACTTACGCCGCAGCTATCAGCCAGCCGGAACGGTACACGCTGCATACACACCTGTTCCAACCGCCGCGGCAGGGAAGCACTTCTTCACTTACAATGATCTTCACCGCATGGAAGTGTCGCGCAGGGTGCAGCTATCGAAGGAAAGCGTGACGAACCACGACCACAACTGTGGCGTTCAACTCATGCTGATCACCATGGCTGCGGCTCTGCCCGTCAGAGCGACGACTGGTCAAGGTGATGTGATACGGGTGCTCCTCAAAGGCCCATTCGCTAACCACAATCATTCAGTGTTCTTCCGGAAGCCAATGATCGCTTTGGCGTTGATGCTCGTCCGTCCGCAAGATTATATGCGCAAGCCCGAACGTCTCGAAGACGATGAGGCTGCCCCATCGCCTACGTCCCAGAAGAAGAGGTCAGCATCGGTTTCGAATAAAGAAGACGGGAAAGTCAAGGCGGCAGAGGCGCTGAGGGCCGAGCGGATCGCCGAGTACAACATGACGCAACGCTTGCGCTCCGACAAATGGGCGGAGGACGGCACCGCATTCGACCGACTTGCGTACACGGTGGCTAGGAAGATACTCATCGCGTGTAAGACCAAATACCCCGGCGACGCGAAGGCGCAGCTCCCAGGGCGGGAGTATATTTTCGAAGGCAGTCGATGGGACGATCCGGGTCCTCCGCTGGACGTGCGCGAGCTGACGGATGATTTGCGGACGACACACGTTGACGATGTTGTGAATGACGCCGGCGGAGACGAGGACAGTGAGGGAGATGATTCAGAGTCGGAGGTTGGATCGGAGAGCGACTTGACGGACTTAGAGTAGGGCATAGAGTAGAGCACGTGTTACACAGAATAACGACCTAATCTCGACGAGGGAAGAAGTCAGACATTGACCACAAGAAATAGCACTGATGAGCCAATGGACGCGATTCGAAAGGGCACAGGTCGTGAAGGTACGACGACGCAAGCGAGGGTTTTCCTTTCGGAGATATCAGTGCCGTGGGAATCTCATCAAAAATGGTGGAGGAAAGGGCGCGCACCTTGGTGTGCACACAATAGGCAAATAGCGCAAATAACAAAGAAAGAAGTATATCGGAGGTCAACCTTCCTTCTTATGCGTTTGTGTACGCAGCGAAGGTCCAAGGCTAAAAGATATGAGGCGTGTCGAGAGATGTGGCTGTGTACATTTTCGGATTGATCCGAGCACGTGGAAAGTACACGCCTACTGCGCTAGAGCAAATGAACATAGTGATATTCAGAGAAGACACACAGGTACACGTACGCTTCACAATGTACCTAGAATTTCCCTGACGAAAATCGATACAGTTACAAGGAAGAAAAGGGCAGCGCCACATATTGTCCGAATCTGGATAGAACAGCTTGGACGTCAAAACATGATGAAAATCAGGCCTGTAAAACGAAACCTGACAAGCAGGTCTCGTAATCACCATGGCGGACGCTGCTCGGGCCGCTGTTCCGAGGCCACGTGGACCGCCCCTATGCCACGTGGAATCAATCACAACCTCAATCAGAGACAAACAATCTCCTTTGTCTCCAACCACATTTTTCTTTGTCTCCAACCACATTGTTCTTTTTACCCAACCGCATTAACATTGTTCTTTATCTTCAACCACATTTTTCTTTGTCCCCACCCACATTGTTCGACGCGCTGCCAGATCTCCATCTCGGTCTTTGGAAAGGTGTCCTGATTTTTAGTCGGCGTCCTGGTTTTTTTACGGTGTCCTAATGTTCTACGGTCGAATGCTAGTTGCTAGTATGCCGCCGAATTTCAAGCACAATTTGCCCTGCCGCATGCCGCGTCGATTTCACTCGGCCGCATCCCGCGCTGGCTCACTTTACGACAATGAATTATCTGTATCCCGTCTCTGTCTATCAAGTCGCGCAATCCGGTGTTTATTTCGCACATCAATATAGGCCTTTAATTCTTGCGCGACGCGCGCGATGCTTGCGTGTACAGTAGTCTGATATATGTGACCACATACTCAGTATATGTGACCACATACTCAGTATATGTGACCCCATACTCAGTATATGTGACCCCATACTCAGATATGTGACCGCATATCTGTGGATATGATTTTAGGGACTCAAACGCGCTCCACCCGGAATCTCGCTATCGACGCGTACGTGGTTCAAATACCCTCCTCAGCCGTCCGTGACCAGCGGCCTCCTCAGCGGTTCGTGACCAGCGGTCTCAGCCGTTCGTGACCAGCGGCCTCCTCAGCCGTTCGTGACCAGCGGCCTCCTCAGCCGTTCATGACTCACGGTCTCCTCAGCGGTTCGTGACTCACGGTCTCCTCGGCCGTCCGCGAGACAGCCTCTCGTCCGCCTCACACCCCCACCCTTCGCCACCCTCACCATCCCCCACCTTCGCCCCTGATCAGCCCCTCCTCCTACCTCACCCTCGCCACCACCGCCGCACTCTCCCCTCCCCTCCTCTCCCTTCCGACCCCACCCACCTTCCCCCTTCCAGATTCATTCCAATAGCCCCCAACCACCCCTTCCGCCCCTCGTCTACCCCTCCCCCACCCTTCCGCTACACCCACGCCACCACCGCACCCCTCCCACCTATGTACCCCAGTCGTCGTTTCCCCTGCGAAGAGAGCGAACGAGTACGTTATGTGAAGGGAACGAACGAGGAGGCGAAGGTGAGCGAGCAAGGATGCGGAGGGATCGAACGAGTATGCGAAGGGAGCGGGCAAGGATGCGAAGGGAGCGGGCGAGGATGTGCAGGGAACGGACGAGAATAATATGTCAAGGGAACGGGCGATCCGTCCGTGATTCACGGGAGAGAAGTCGTCCGCGAGAGGATGTAGAAGGGAAGACGCGCGTGAGGATGTGGACAGGAAGACGCGCGTGAGGATGTGAGAAGGGAAGACGCCCGGGAAGACCGGGGGTGTAGGGGGCTATGACGGTGGAGACGCAGGCGACGACGGTGGGGTTGAAGGGCGACGGAGACGACGCAGGGGGGGAGGGCGATGGGGTATGAGGGGCGACGGCGACAGAGTGGAGACAAAAGCGACTCAGAGGAGACAAAAGCGACTCAGAGGAGACGATGACGGTGGACACGGCGTCGGGCGCAAGAACGCGCGGGAGGTGGACGCGAGCAGAGGTCACGCGCGAGGCAGAGAACTGACGAGGATGGGCGGTAGAGGGAGATGGAAGTGCGCGCGCCGGGACTCGAGAGGGGCGCGCGCCAGGGCTCGAGAGGGCGCGCCGGTGTTGGAGAGGGGCGCGCGCCTAGCCTCGTTAACCAGCTACGCGTGCCTGATCTCGCTAATCAGCTACGCAGACTCGAGTTGCGCGCGGAAGATGCACACCCCCACCCCCCTCACCCTCCCCCCCACTTCCCACCCCTCACCCTCCTCACCCACCTCCCACCCCCCCACCCCCTCACTTCCCACCCTCACCCATCGCCCCCGCACCCTCACCTCCCCCTCACCCCCGCACCCTCACCTCCCCCTCACCCCCTCCCCTTCCACCTCCACCCCACCCCCTTACACACCCCACGCGCCCTCACCCTCCTCGCCGCTCGCCTCTCGCCCTCCCCCCGCCCATCGGGCTCGTCTTTTCCTTCGCAGCTCGCACGCACACTCCACCGCGCATCCGCTCATCCTCCCTCGCGACCCGGCCAATCATTCTGTCGGATCCTCGTCAAGCTCGGCCAGTCATTCACTCCTCGCGGTGAGGCCAGTCATGCTGTCGGATTCTCGTCAAGCTCGGCCAGTCAGTCTGTCCTCGACAATTTTCTCCTCGCATCGAGCTCGGCCAGCAATTCTCTCCTCGCATCGAGCTCGCCCTCCCCCGCCCATCGGGCTCGTCCTTTCATCACACCCCACCACGCCCCATGTCGTCCGCACCCCTCCCCCCGCGCCCACCCCCCCCCCCCTTCCCACCTCACCCACCACCACCTCTCCTTCCCACCACGCCGACCACCACCCCTCCTTCCCACAACCCCCCACGCGTCTCTTCTCCCACTCCCCACCCCACCCACGCATCATCCCCGCGCACTAAATCGCGGCCACCTCGCACGCGCACTAAATCTGAATTATAGCCATCTCAAACGTACCCTCCCTCCAAGTAGGGTGGGGAAGGGGTGAGGCGAAGAGGGAGGAGAGGGTGAGGGAGAGAGGCTTGGAGGAGGGGGAAATGGGGGGAAGGGGATTGGACGAGGGAAGGAGGGATAGGGAGGGGGAGGGACGAGGCGTGGATGATAAGGGGAGGGGGAGGGGGAAGGGAGGGAAGGGAGGGAGGGGGAGGGGAGGAGGGGGAGGGATGTGTTGTGAGATCGACGGGATGTGTTGTGAGATCGGAAGGGGAGCGCGAAGTACGGCGCGCCGTAATGAATTGCGCAGATCGGCGTACTGCGTTTGTCCGCCGGCACGCGCCCTGCTCTAGAGGACTGAACTTCTGGTGTCTCGTGAGCGATACCTCGATGAGGCGTACGAGCCTTTCCTGACGCAATCACAGCCATCCTGTATGACCTGATAAAGAGGACAAGGGCGCAAGAGTATGACGCGGAGAGGAAGGAAGGTAGGGTAAGTGACGTGTGGAGGGACGATGATGGTGTGAAGAGTCGATGGTGGTGCGTGCGAGCACCGGCGATGGCGGAAGGCGAGAAGCGGGAGCGGGCGCAGGCGGCGACGAGAGCGAGGGCGGGCGAGAGAGGCGAAGAGAGCGAGAGCGGCAAAGAGCAAGCTGCGGGGAACCGGACCGGACAAATGACAGCTTGCTTCTGCCTCGGTTCCGCGCGCGGAGTGAGGACGGTTTCTATGTACTGGTAGCTGACGACTGCGTCACCAGTAAAGATTTCCGGTACCTCGCTCCAAGCCAGCCATGACCACCTCTTCCGCTCCCAACGTCACAGCGACGCCAGTGTGAAACGGGGGCCCCTCTTCCACCAAACACCCCCAGCTGAGTCGCGCCTCCACTCGTATCGCATCTCCCGCTTCCACTCGTATCGCAACTTCTTCCCTTTCCCAAGAACGCCCGGCCCTCCCGCTCATTAAATTGGTCCAGCTCGTCCCACCCTTACTCTAGCTCGCCACACCGCACCGTCTAACAATGCACCCTCGCCTCTTGCTGACACCCTACGGCGCTGGCTATATTATGCCCCCGACGATGCCGGCTATATGCTCCCGACGGTACTGGCTATACGCGCCCTACGGTCCTGACTATATGCCCCCCACAGTGCTGACTATACGCCCCCGACGGTGCCGCTAAATATATGCTACTCTCGCCAACCATCCCCCCTCCATTCCATCCCTTCCCCTTCCCTTCTTTCCCTCTTCCCCTCCCTCCCCTCCCCCTTCCCCTCCCCCCTCCCCTCATCCTCACCCTCACCCTCATCCTCACCCTCACCCTCACCCTCACCCTTACCTTCTCCCCCACCTACCCTTCCCCCCACCTGTCCATCCACCTGTCCATCTCCTCCCCTCCCCCTCCCCCCCTCCCCTTCTATCCATTCTTCCCCCCTTTGCCCCTCCCACCTCTCCTCCATTCTCCCTTCCCCACCCACCGCCCGCGCGCCGGGGATGCGAAATGGGGAGTGCGAGATGGGGAGCGCGGGGAGATGCGCGGGTGGGGGGGAGGGAGGATGCACGCGGGGACTGAGGGTGGGGGGGGGGGAGGAGACGCGAGATGAGTGTCGGGAGGCGACGAAGCGGTGTCGCGCAGGGGGCGACGAAGGGAAGCGAGGGAAGGTAGAGGGAAGGGGGTGCAGAAGCGGCTCAAGGAGTGTTGGGAGACGGGGGATGGAGGTCGCGAGGCGTGGGGCCCGCTTGGCTGCGTGCATCTCCCGCACCCTCCCTCTCCCTCACCCCCCCTCTCCCCTCCCCTCATCCTACCCTCTCCCCCTCCCCTCCCCTCCCTCGCTCTCATGCCTCTCTTCCCCCACCCTCAGTCCACCGCTGATAGTGCGTGTTACCATTCCACACGAGTGAGGACGGATGTGAAGAGGGAGGAGAGGTGGGACGGTGGGCTACCGTTCGGCATGAGTGAGGTCGATAAGCTGCCGTTCCGCATGAGTAAAATCGGTGGTGGGCTCTCATTTCGCAAGGCGGTGAGCTAACATTTCGCTGAAGTCAGGACGGTGGTGTGCTCCCATTTGGCAGAGCCCGAGACAGTGAGATGCCATTCCGCATGGGTAAGGTCGATGAGCTCCCACCCCACTACGCAGAGCTCCGCGCTCCCGCTGCGCACGAGTCAGCACGGTGGTGTGCTCCCACCGCGCAGAGTGGTGAGCTCCCGCTGCGCAGAGCGGGGACGCTCCCGTCCGACCGGGGAGGAACACCTCATCCGAACGCGCGGGAAGGGAGGGGACGCGCCCGTCCGACCGAGGCGAGGGGAGGGGACGCCCCCGTCCTCCAAATGTAGGGAAGGAAGACCCCGTCCGACCGCGAGCGGGGACACCTCGTCCGAACGAGGGGAGGGGAAGACGTCGTCCGAACGAGGAGAGGAAGACCTCGTCCAAACGCGAGCGGGGAAGACCCCTGCCCACCCCGCCCGACGCCTTTTCCCCATCCCCTCACCCACCCCACGACACCCCCTCCTCCCCTCTCCCCCGCGACGCGTCTTCGGCATCGCGCCCTTGCCTGACGCCTCTTCCTTCCCTCCCCCCCGCGACGCCTCTTCGGCATCGCGCCCCCGCCTGACGCCTCTTCGGCATCGCACCCCCGCCCGACACCCTGTGCTCGAGTCACGCATATTCAAGCGCTGAGATGCACTCCGACATCGCCTGAGCGCCGTTCCATCATCGCTGAGCACAACGACTTCGTCTTCGCTGAGCTGCCGCCCCTCCGCTCGTCTTCGCCTGAGCCGAGCTGCCGCCCCTCCGCCGTGCTGCGTACGAGGTTGGTCAATAATCTGCTTGCTGACGCTCGAACGACCAGCGCGCGCCGTTTACGAATGTGTGTGCGGACGCCGGTTAACGAAACTCGTCCGCGCCGTGACACCCTGGCGGAACTCGGAAGTTCGTACCCCGTCGCGTCGTGTCGCGCGATGATTGTTCGCCGCGTAGTGTCCCGCGATAATCGTTCCTCGCGCGCCTTGACCGGGAGGGAAGGGGCGGGAGAGGGAGTGAGTGAGCGAGGGAGTGGAGACAATCGAGTGGAGGTGAGTGGGGTGAGGGGGAGGAAGAGGATACGGAGGACCAGGTTGGTCAAGGGCGAAGGACGGGATGGGCAGAAGCGGCATAAGGTGCGGGAAGGAGGGAGCGGAAGGGGAGAGCAACGGGAGGGGATATGAGCGGGAGGGGGACGTGAGCGGGAGGGGGACGTGAACGGGAGGGGGAGGGCATCGGGAGGGAATATGAAGGGGAGGGGGATGGGGAACAGAGGAGGACGAGGCGGGAGGGGAAGACGACTTAGACGAGACGCAAATGGAAGAAATGGAGGGAGGAGAGATGAAAAGGGTACGAAGGAGCTGACGTCGGGGCAGATGAGACGGAGTGGGGCGAGGGCAGAGAAGAGGGTTAAGACAGGTGTAGTATTCTCGGATTACTAGCTGCGCTCCGAGTCAGCATGGTGGATCAAAAGCAAGGACAGGCGTACCTCAAGGTACAACAGTGCGCGTGCGTCCATATCTACAAGGCCCTCATACTCGATCACCGTATCCCCTCCATTACGCTGTCACCTCCACCTCCCACTCCCGCCTATTGTTAGAATATATTCATCTCTACGCATACACAAGCGCCCACAGTTTCCTATTTAGGTTTTATCTCCGTACATACGTCTCCGATCGTCGATACACGCCTCAGCTTTTCCCTTCATCGCTGAGGCGTAAGTCCAGATTTATATATGTCCTAGACACCTGTACTGACGCTCTCGTAGTTACACGGTTCTCGTACAGGTACACACTTTCTATATAAAAGCTTTTCCCTTCATCGCTGAGGCTTACACGGTTCTCGTACAGATCCGTGCCCGCCGACTCCGTATCCTCCCTCCCCCGTCGCTCGCATCCTCCGTCACCTATACACCCGCATCATCCCTCCTCGCCCTCCGCGTCTGGTCCCTCTTCATCATCGCCGTCGCCGCTCGATGCCGCACGCGCGAGTCTACTTCAAAGTCGAAGGCACCGAGGTTGGTTAGAGATTCCACGGAAGCAGGAGAAGCAACGACAGCGAGCATCGGTGAATGCGGCGGAGTCAAAGGCACGACGGGGCGCACGAAGGGAGTGCATTCACCAGGGAGCAGAAGCGACCAACGACATGGTCCAGAGGTCCCTGCGCGTCGAGATAGGAAACAACAGTGTTGGACGTGTCAGGTCAGAGGTACTGACCTGACACCAAGGTCAGTGGGTCAGACAGGTCAGGTCAGGGAGGTTCAACCGCTCTGACCCCAGGGTCAGGAAGGGTCAACGGGAGTTGCCGATACGCACGTGACCCAACCGCCGCGTGTCGCCTCCGGGCCCGGAGGACTTTTTGCCCCAACGTCGTTCACCTCCGCTATCCTGCACATTCACGTCTATGTACTATGTCAAACAAAAACCCTCTCAAGAGCTGGGCCTGGGACTACTTCCACGACAGTGGGTCCAAGTATAAGGGTGACAAAACACACCATGAAGCCCGGTGCTTGGGCTGTATCCGGGACCACGAGAAAGTACTCGAGGATCAGCAGCGGGAGCGCCTCAAACTGGGCACCTTGCAGCCTGATCGACTGAAGGATACAGCAGCTCTTCGGAAAGAAGGTGTGTTCTCTGCATGTGGACGATCAGCCCACACGTAACCCCGAGTATACTGACGAGATCAATAGCCATCCGGGCAACTGAGCCTATCCGGGGAAGGGTCGACGTGATGAAGAGGCATATCAAGAAGTGCGAGCTGGTCAAACAAGCGGCCAAGGACCGCCTCGCTGCCGAGGAGATCGAGAAGCAGAGCGACGCGACGCAGGAGGATGCCGATTCCTCTGACCACCCCGCGACCGCTCGTCCTCCCGGCCCGATCCAAACCCTATTCAAGGTTGCAAAGAACAAGCCGTTTACTCCGGCGGCTCAGGCCGAGTTCGAGCGCGACTTCCTCAAGCTTCTCATCGTCATGAACGTCGCCATGCTCGCTGCCAACGACCCCTACGTCAAGCACTTCTTTGAGAAGTACGTCCCGGGCGCGCGCCTGCCTGACCGGAAGCAACTCTCGAACCGCATCCTCGACGACGAAGTCAACCACGTGACGGCGGCGGTCGCATCCGATGTGAAAGGCCAGTATGCGACGGGTACCGTGGATGGATGGAGCACGAAGAAGGACGCCGTTCAGTGCACTGGGCTGAACGTTGGTGGCAAGGTGCGTTTATATGTGGCATCCGCGGGACTAGCTCACTGATGCGACATGATAGGAATACCCCGGTCGAATCCACGTCACGACGGCGGAGCAGAAGACGTCCGCCAACCTTCTGCAGCACGTACTCAGTGATATCCAATGGATGGTCGCGACGCTTGGTATCATCATTGTAGCTTGGTGTTGTGACTCGGGTGGCGACTCGCGAGGTCTCCGGCCTCTCCTAGTTGCTCTCATGCCTTGGATTCTTGCCATACCCTGCTGGGGGCATCAGGTTAGTCGCCTTGACCTTCTTCTTTCCGCAATCTGTCATTGACAAGATGTAGCTCAACCTTGTTGTTTACAATTATGTGCACCGTGCGGGCGACTGGATCTCGGAGACGCTAAGCAAGTGTGCCATAATAATCAACTGGTTCACATCACATAAACGCGCGCTGTCGATGCTCATGGAAGAGGAGCGGAGGAGTCCGGAGCAGTGGACTCGGCTGAAGACCTTCATCCGGGCTGTCATCACGCGATGGACAACCCACTACTTGTCGGTCAGACGGATGGCAGAGCTCCGGGAGGTACTGCAGGTGCTTGCCATAGTGCGCCGCAGTCAGTTGCTTCTCGCAGGTGGCGAAAAGCAGGAGCAGATTGACGCTGCTGACGGTGTAATCAAAATCGTTGAAGATGGGTCATTCTGGACGAACATCGATGTGTACGTCTATCTGTCCTTCTGGCCTCACGGCTTCACTGACATGCTTGACAGCCTCAAGCGATACCTTGAGCCTCTTGCCATTGCCGCAAACGTTGCTCAGGGCTCATCGACCCGCTTGGACCACGTGCTAGTCACGCTCGCCTCGCTTCACCACGCGTACTCGACCAAGACCAAGTGTGGCGAGTACGACCGCCTCGAAGACAATGCCATCATCATCGCGAGCTTGGAGAAGCGCTGGGCTGCCTTGAAGAGGGACCAGGACTTCTACATTATCGCCGTTTTTCTCCATCCCCAGTTCCGTGCACACTTCTTTGACAACGCAACGCACTCGCTCTCACGTGCGGGGCTTTACACGGTGCTCAAGCGTGTGTACAGGCGGGTCTTCCGTGTACCCGAAGACGATGAAATGCCGCCCGGACTCTTCGAGAGCTACTGTCAATACTACGATGGGACAGGGCGCTATACGAGTGAGGGCTTCTCTCTACTAGTTAAGTTGGCCTTGCGGCATGCACGAGACCTGCGAGTGCGCAGTCAGGCTGACCCAGCCGTATACAGAAAATTCCCAATTTTGAAGAAGCCGGCGACGTGCATATGAGGGGGATATAGTATTGTACGTGCACACCCTCGACACGTTGGAATGCATCGGGCGCGCGTGAAATTGCCGTTCCGTGCATCGTTGTCAATGGAAATATTGATAAAGACATATATATTCAGTATCTACATACTTCAGGGCATGGGGGAGGGAAGGGGGAAAACGTGAGAAAATGTACAAAAACGGGGGAATTCTCGCCTGCGCCCAACGCATGAGGCACGTGGCGGCGTCGAAGGCGTTGAGTCTTGTCGTCGCGCGTGACTCGGAGATCTTGATGTCGAAAGTCGTTGCTTGAGGCAGTCGAGGTGAGTAGCAATGAGTCTCGGATAGCAAGATGCTGGGGCTCTCCTACAGAGGAGCCCCGGAATATATACTCGTTCTCGTGTCAAAGAGGAATGCATGTATGTAATGAGTCGTTAAAGAGAACAGTCGAAACATAGTCCGTAAAAGAGTAGTCAAAGAGGTGGATGACGCGGCAGCCCCTGGCTGCGCGCGCCACCCGCTATTCATGTGAAGTATAAGTCCGCGAGGCGTGCTTCTCGTGATCATAAGGTAAATTGGGATTCCCACGGTTCGACTTCGGGTCGGCACCCGCCGCCGTCACATTCGCCCTCCAGGCTCGCGAAGCGAGCCTCTCTACACAGCAAGGGTCGAACGAAGGAGAACACGCGATACAATACAAGTCATAGAACAAAAACGGCAGGCATACGTATGAAAAAGGAAAAATCTAAGTAAGTCATATAGTAATTTACGCGGCCGCGCCAGCGTCGTCCATGACGGCGTCACCGTCCGGGGTGGGGTTCGAAGGCTCTTCGTCAAGCATCTTCTCGTAGTCCTCCTCAGACATGGACGGTCCGTCAGGGGAAGTCTGGCTGCTCGATGCGACGTTGAGACCTCCGAACCGGCTGATCGTGTTGCTCAGGTCGGACTCGGATTCCGCGCTGGCTGGCGCGTTAGAGGCGCGAGGAAAGTCCGGGGTCGTCGCGGGAGGAGCGGACTCCGTGGCAGGCTCGGTAGCGGCCATCGGGGTGTCCGAGAATCCTGCAAGCATCGTCAGGAAAGGCTGCCATAGGTGCAGGTCGAAGAGACGGCGAGTGTCGTCGTCAACGTCATCTGGCTGCTCACCATCCTGTCCAGCGGCCTGCTGGGCTTCCCTGCGTGCCGCACGGCGGGCGCGGTTGCGTGCGTTGCGCGCCGCGTTGCGCCTGGCCTTGTTGGCAGCAGCGTCAGCAGCCCGCGCTTCGGCCGTGCGTGCGTCGTCTCGCCTCGCGTCCCGTCGCCCGTCCTGGCGTGAGGGGCGCGGCGAACGCTCGTAGCGCCTCGAGTTCGCCATCGCGAGCTCGAAGCCCTGTGTCATCGTGACACGCGTCTCCTGCATGAGCGCGGCGATGTGGTCTGCAGTGTATGCGGCACCACCCGTCGCTCCTGGTGCGGAGTCTAGCAAAATGTCAGAAGACCGCGAAGTCTCGAAGACTGGCTCGTACGTACGCCTCGAGCGAAACAGGTGCGGATAGTCGTCCGGGTGGGGCGCATGGCGGTACTTCTTGCGATACGCGTTGTACTTCGCGGGCGGGTTGCCCGGAAAGCGCGAAGTCGGATCGCGAATGTAGGCGGATACCGCATCCGCGTACGCGCGGCACGGGATCTCGTCAACGGCGTAGAGGATGTTGTCCATGTTGTGCGAAGAGGATGAGCGGGAAAGACGTGAGTGTCTGTTTTTCCATGCTTTCGGCCGTGGCTTATAAGCGTTCTCATTTCCTGCGGGCACGCGGCAAGCGGAAACTCCAATTAAGGCTTCCTCCGGCGCGTCCGGATTTTCCTTCGCAGGTAGGTTGCGAGCGTGGTCAATTCCCATCGCTTCGCAGTACTGATCCATTGCCGCTAGGTGCTTGATTTGGTGGTAGGGAAACCAGGTAATGTCCCCACTTGCCCACTTAAGCTCGAAAATCGCGCTTGTTCCCTTCCCAGAGTGCGAGAGAATCCGGTCGACTGCCCACTCGGTGGGCTGCTCACCGAAGCCCGGAATCTGGTGCGGGAGACGACCAGGAAAACGCCTGTCGTCGTTTGGGAAATGCTTGCGCAGCAAGGAAGCATGGAACACGTCGTGTATGCCCCGTTTCTTTAATTCCGGAGACAATTCCAGCTGATATGAAGCGCCAGGAGATGCCACTCGGATGATTCGGAAAGGGCCGATGTACTTGGGGACGAGTTTCCTCGCACGCCCTTTCGGCAGCTTTAGGTTCTTTGAGGACAGGTACACGAGATCGCCGACTGCCAAGTCCGCTTTTCGGCGATGCTTGTTCGCCTCCGTTGTCTGGTGAGTACGCGCCTCAATGATTGCGTCGTGCGCGTGCATAATCGCGCTCTTCATGTTCTGAGCGAATTTACGAACACCCGGATACTCACTGTCGGAGTTCCAGATCATCGTGCGTGGGGTCATGGCATAATTCAGGAAGAAAGGCGAATATCCGGTAGTTTCCGAACGCGCTGCATTCATGGCAAACTCGGTAGCGGGTAAGTACGTCGCCCAATCCTTCTGGTCGGGTCTGACACATTGCCGAAGCATCTGGGTCATTGTCCGATTGGCACGCTCGGTGGCACCATCGGTTTGAGGGTGGTAGGCAGTTGACATGCGCAATTCCACACCAAGGAGCTCGTGTAACCGTTTCCAAAAGGTACTTGTGAAGAGCGAGTCCCTATCGCTGATGATCCGCTCGGGGAGTCCGTGTAGTTTGTAAACATGCTCGAATATCATTTCAGCGACCTGTTTCGCGCCGTAATTCTGTCGGGCTGGAATCAGGTGTACCATCGAAGTAAGGTGGTCGATTACGACACAAATGTAGTCGTATTTTCCTGTCCTTGTTTCCGATTCGGGAAGTGGACCCACAAAGTCCACACCAATTGCTTGCCACGGTCGCGTGGGTACCGGCAACGTCCGGAGTAACCCCATGGGACGGTCGGACCGCGACTTCGAAGTCGCGCACACGCCGCACGTCTTGCAGAAGGCTTCCACGTCGGCGACCATCTCTTTCCACCACACCTCCTCGCGCAGCAAGTCAATGGTTTTGCGGTGGCCAAGGTGCGCCAGCAACGAGTGTGCATGGGTGATCACGATCTCGCGTGCGCGTCGATCACCGATCGTAATGTCCGGGATGCAAAGTACGCGCTTCCCCTCACGCGTCTTGTATACTAACCCGTCGATTTCCTGAAAATCCGCAAACTGCTCGGGATCACGCATGAGTTTCCTGAAAAAGGGATCCTCATTGTATCGATAACGGAGGGATCCAGGCATGGGGAGACCGATATCGCTAGCTGTGGTCAGGAGAGGTGAGTCCCCATCCCCTTCAGCCATCGATATAGCCTCTGACCTGCGTGCAGCTGGCTCACTGGTCCCGATCGTACTCTCCTGCGGTCCTTGAGCGCCCATTTCCGCCGGAGGTTCTTGCACGGTACGTGGATCGATGGATTCCCCCTTTGTCTGCTTGGACTTCCGCCCGCGCTTCCTGGCTGATTTTGCCTGTTCAGGGGTTTCAGCAATTTGTGCTTCCGCATGCGCTGCGGTCTGTTGCGCGGCTTTCTCTGCAAGTCGCCCGGAACGACGCGGAGTCCAGTCAAAGACCGCTGTCGATCCTGTGTAGACTGGGCGCGTCACTCCATCTTCCCTCGCAAAGTAGTCGGAAACGGAGTCGTCGTCATCGGGACCGACGTACTCACTCCGAGCTCGTGTTGTACCTGCGGGTTCATCACTGTACATCCGCGAGAGTGCGTCCGCGAGGATGTTCGTCTCGCCTGGAATGTAATGAATGGTAAAGTCAAATTCATTCATGACATCAAGCCAGCGATGTTGACGCGGTGACAGGTTCCGCTGCTTCATGAAGTGTTCGAGGGCGCGATGGTCCGTGCAAACGCGGAAGCGGGCGCCGTGCAGAAGGCCTCGGAAGCGCTTGAGCGACTCCACGATGGCAAGCAGTTCCTGCTCGTGCACCGGGTAGTTCTGCTGCGCTGAGTTGAATTTCCCGGACCAGAATGTGACAACATTCGCGTGCTTCAAGTCCTCGCCCTGCGAGATATATCCGCTCGCTCCCGTCACGCATGCGTCGGTGACGAGGTTGATGGGTGGCGCATCCGGTGAGTAATCGAGAGCGACGCGATGCTGATCATGATGTGCAGCCACAATCCGCTTCGCTTCGTCAAAAGCGCGCTGTTCAGTCGGCCCCCAACGCCACAACTTGTTTCCGGTCGCAAGTTCCGTGAGCGGCGCAAGCGCAATGCGGACGCCTTTGCAGTTATCCGCCAAAAATCCGACCGAGCCGATGAAGCTTGCGAGCAAGTCCTTGTTCGTTGGAGTTTTCCAGTTCGCAATCTGGTCGACTTTGTGCGGGTCCATGATGATCCCCTTCGCGTCGATGACATGTCCGAGTAAGTGGAGTCTCTCGGCGAAGAAATGCATCTTATCAGCGCCCAGGTAGAGCTTTTCTCGTCGTAGAATATCAAAAACAATGCGAATATGTTTGATATGATCTTCGACGGAATCCGAATAGATTACAATGTCATCGAGGTATACATCCATGAAGACTCCGATGTAAGGCGCGAAGATATGGTTCATGAGCATCTGGTAAGTCGCTCCTGCGTTACAATCTCCCTGCTGCATGACTAAGCTCTCCATAGTGCCGTCGGGCGTCGAGAATAGCGTCTTTGGGACATCCTTAGGCTCAACACGGATTTGCTCGAAGGCGTCCTTCCCGTCGATCAGCGTGCGGTATCGGTGGCCCGTGACGCGCCGCAGGATGGTGGGCATGTCCGGAAGCGGAGACGCGAGTTTCCGCGTGTTCGTGTTCTGCTCGCGCTTGTCACAAACAGTGCGAATGCGCACCTTTCCGTCCGCCTTCGGCGGCTTCTTCAGGATTAGCATCGGTGAGTACGCAACTCCCGCGGCCACCCGCCATCGCCCCGTGCGAATATAATCATTCTTTTTCTCCCGCCAGATGTCCTTGATCGCCTCGGGGCACCGCGAAGGGCGCCAGCGCGGGACCTTGGACTCGTCGATGAGCGGGATGACGTGGTTGATGGCTCGGAGAGGTGGGAGCGCGGTCTTCGCCGTATCGGGACATAAATCCTTCGCTTCGTCCGCGAGCATCTTACGAATGCTTTCCAGGTCGTGCTCGACAAGATCCGCGGCAGCGGATTTAATCTCAGCAATTTCCTCGCCGCGCAGTTCGCGCGGGGAAGGGGAAGCGACCGCAATGCGCGTCGGATTCAAGCCAAGCGTGACCTGGTGTTGGAACAGGAACGGAGTACCCAGGATAAGGTCGTACGTGTCGATATTCGCCACGTCGAAGCGTCGCTGACAGTCAATTGTCTGGTACTTGAAGTTTACAGTTGCGGAAGTGTTGATCTTCGAGCGGGAACCGTGAACGGCAAGTTGCACAGTGAGTGGTTTTGCCAGCACATCAAGGCGGAGGTTGAGCTGGACCGCCAGCGTCGTGGAAATGAAGTCCGCCATCGACCCCGTGTCAATCAGCGCGCGCGCTTTGTGGCCATTTATTTCCACTTCAATCACAATGGGACGAGGTAAGCAGCGCTTGAAGTCCTTCGGAATCATCGAGGTGCGCTCGATAGCATCAACAAACTGACCGTATTCCTCCTGCTTGCCTTTAGACTTCCTCGTCTTAGGCTTGCTGGGACCAACAGCGGCGCAGTATGCGATATTGCGACGCTGACGTTGTGTCAGACGAGTTTGCGCTCGGTCCCGTGTCGGAGGGTTTTCCCGGCGTGCTTCATGCGCCAGCCACTGCGTGCGCTCGGAATCAACGCGGTCTCGCAAGAACTGGACCGAAAACTCGTCGGAGTCGAGCTCAGAGCGGTAAGCGACGTAACATCTGTCGGAATCCATACAGTCATTAATCTCGAAGAAGTCCCCATAGTTGATGATCTGGAATCGCTCCTGAGGCGATAAATCGATGCCATCTTCCGCAAAGTGCGTCGCAAACAGAGCACGGAGGTATTCCTCGACGTCCTCCGCTTCAGCATTTGACCAAACTCCTTGAGTCGCAGGTAAAGGCGGGCCGTATTCGGTATGTGAACCAGCAGCATATGCCTGCCTCTCGAATGCGACAGCTTCCGCGTGCTCGCGCTCTGCTCGGTCTCGCATGTACTGCACACCGAAGTCGGGTGAGTCAAGCTCGGTCCGGTACGCGATGTAGCTCAACTCAGGTGCTTCAGCATCAAAAATCTCGAAGAACTCCTCGAGATCGTAGACCTGGAAGCGGTTCTCGGCATCAACTTCGGCCGAGAAGTACGAGGAAAACAAGTTCCGAAGGAAAGCGGTCACGTCGTCGCTGTGCGCGCGCGACCACACGCCCTCCACTGCGGGTATTGTCTGCTCACCAAAGGTGACCGCAGCTGTGCGGATTTGCGCCTCGTGAGCCGCCGCTGCCTTCTTCTCAATGGTAGCGATGCTGACTGAGCCTGCCTTTACAGTAGGTCCCTTCAGCTCGTGACGACGCGGGCAATTGCGGCTTTCATGGCCGACTTCATTGCAGTTGAAGCAGCGGCCTTCCGCGCGGCGCTTGTCACGCTCTTCCTTGGTAAGTTTTCCCGACTTCTGCGGTTTCTTCGCGTTGCGATTCTGACCGCCTTTCCCATCGTTCTTAGGCTTGTTCTGGGATTGCGACGCATTCCCGCCCTCCGGACGTTGGCCTCCATTATTGGACTTCTTCTGCTCGCGCTCGGCCGCGTATTTCGGCGGCAGAGGCGAGGGACCGGTGGTGCGGTTCGCAAATCGAGTCCAGGTGCGTCCCGGCTTCGCTTTCCAAACGCCCTGGCTCTCCCTTTCGTAGAGCTTCTGCGCATCCTCATGCTGACTAGCAGCCGTCTTCAAGGTCTTGAGCGAATCTCGCTCGGGCCAGAGGCCTTTGTCGACAAGGTGAAGCCGGAGGTACTGGTGAATTCCCTTCCAAAAGATGTGGATGAGCTGCTGATCCGTAATGTCAGGCAGCCGTTTTGCCATGGTTTGCAAGTCTTTTGCAAAGTCGCGAACGTTCTCGTTTCCCTGCTTCGCAGTCGTGAGCTTCTCGCGTAAGTCCGACTTAAATTGTTGTGGAAAACATTCATCGAATAACGCTTCGTATAGACGCTTCACTGTCCACTTCCGCTCCGCCATTGCGACGTATCGCATGAAGAACTTCGCGGGCTTGTGGGATAGGAAATGGATTAACATTATAATGGTCTGTCTATCGTCAAATCCGCTCAGTTCCGCCCACTTATCGACTTCGTAGCACCATTGCTCGAAGACTTCAAGGTCGGCACGGCCATTCCAGATGAACGGAGTCTTGACCTTCACGCCCTTGACGGCTTTCCGTGCGCGTTGCTTCTCCCGCTTCAGCGCCTTCTTGACCTTCTTGTAGCGCGCCTTATCACGAGAGTTTCCGTCCGACGAGCTGCTAGAGCTTGAGGAGGAGGAAGAACTCGAGGATGAGGACGACGAACTTGACGAGCTACTCGAGCTTGACGAGTCCGAAGAAGATGAAGAAGACGACGAAGACGATGTGGAATCGCTGTCATAGTCATCGGGAGGGCTCGGCGGAGGCGGTCGATGGTCCGAGGGTGCGGGAGTGCGCTCAGGTAGAGGCGCAGTGTACTCGCGCTTACCCGGCGTCTTTGATCGACGCTCCTCGGGCGGTGCTGTTGTCGCGCGGAAGTACCCTCCCGCAGGAAGTTCTGAGGAGTCCCGGCGGAACTCGTCGTCGGGAATGGTGTTGCGCTTACTTCGTGAGTGTCTGCGCTTCTTTTCCTTCTTGTGCTGATGCTTATGCTTCTTGCGCAACTTGTCCTTGTTCGCAGCAGCTTCGCGCATCATGCGCTCGTAATCGGGTCCGCGCTCGCCCTCCGCGACGCCCTTGCCCTTGTCGCGCTTAGGTGCGTCCCTTTGCGGCGTATTGCGAGGCTCACGTCCTCCGTTGCGAAGATGAGGTTTCTCGTCTTGGTCAGAATCGACCTCGACAATCACGGCAGCGCAGTCCATGGATCGGCTCCTCGAAGGACCTGCACCATAATCCGCATCGTAGCGCTTGCGTGTATCCTCCATGGATCGCAAAATGGCTTCGTGGATCATGGCGGCTTCCTCGTCGGAATCATTCTCATTGGTGAATACCTCCTCCTGACCGTTCTCGGGATCGAACTGATCTTCCAGCCAGTCATTCATGTACAGGCCGAAGTCACCGACATTGAAGCGCGGGAGTTGGGGAAGCTCAAATGGCTTTTCCTCCTCGCCTTCCTCAACATCCAGCCAGTCTCCGAAAAACGAGGGGCCTCCTGTGCGCCATGCAGGAGGGCGCGGGGAAGGTCTGGCAACAACCATCGGCGCTTCAAAGTTGTCTGAGTCGTCGCGAAGTGAGTTCTCAATTGCGGTCTGAAAATCCGCATCTATTTCCTCATCCTTCACTACTACAGATAGGCTGTCGAATGACTCGTTGCCGCCATCGGAAATGGGTCCCTCATCCCCCGTTCCATAGGAGGATGCCCCATCTGAGCTGTTCTGGCTCGAAGAGCATTCAGAATTAGCTCGCGCACCCTCCGGCTCCGCTACCGCATCGTCAATGACAATCCGACTGCTGGAGTCGATGTCTATATCGGGTGCAAAACTCACCAGAGGCGCGTCCACCTGTACACGCGTCGAGTCGCTCGAGTGCGACTCCGACTCGCCCGAGTCGGACGTCGGGTCGGTGATGAAGAAATGACGCTCACTGGGCGGGCGCGCGCCTATGCGCCCTCCCGCCGTCAAGCTGGTCGTGTTCGGGTATTGCCCATTCACCATCGGGTGAGGGATACCAGGCGGGCTGGCTTCGATAGCCTGCGGTTCCGCCACAGGCGCATCCAGCACGACATGCGGAGCAATGTCCTCGCGTGTCGCTTGCGCATTCGGAGGGTTTATGGGTCCACCCTCTCGAATTGCTTGCGCGTAACTGGGAGGCCGCGTACTAGACGCCGACCCCGTGTATACTGGAATGCGGCTTGGCCTCGCTCCCTGACGACTTCCCGTTCCACCAGCGCGAAGGTTCGCGCTGATGCTGGGTGTCACCGGTCGGGGATTGGGGGCATCGCTGTCCGCCATGTGGAGGGCTTGGCTCCGCCGTCGTTGACTGCGTGTCAGGACCGGGCGCGAGCCTTCAAAGCCACGTTCGTCATCGGTTGGCCACCGGATACCCCAATGCACGCCCAAGGCGAGGGTATCACGGTCCGCCCGAGACATCTGGGGGCCGCGCGACACAGTGTGCGCGACGGCCGGCACCTGATCCGGAGAGTCGAGCTCGCCATGAGCTTCGTACTCGACCGGGGAGTCCTCATCAACCCGAAGGTTGGAGGCCGCTCCGGAAGCAGCTACCTCGTCCGCCCACGAACGCTCGTTCATAGGCGAGGAGGTCTGCATAGTATGCATACTATCAGAATGTCTAGACATAGGAAAAAAGAAAATTCAGCAAAATGAGACGGAAAATTAAGACACACCGGGTGATCAGTCCGTGTGGATAGATACGAGAGAGATAGAAAGAGAAACGAGTCTAAGAGAGTCTAGAGGTAGAGGAGTTCGAGAGTTGTGTAGATACTCAAAAAAATGAGGCACGTGGCGGCGTCGAAGGCGTTGAGTCTTGTCGTCGCGCGTGACTCGGAGATCTTGATGTCGAAAGTCGTTGCTTGAGGCAGTCGAGGTGAGTAGCAATGAGTCTCGGATAGCAAGATGCTGGGGCTCTCCTACAGAGGAGCCCCGGAATATATACTCGTTCTCGTGTCAAAGAGGAATGCATGTATGTAATGAGTCGTTAAAGAGAACAGTCGAAACATAGTCCGTAAAAGAGTAGTCAAAGAGGTGGATGACGCGGCAGCCCCTGGCTGCGCGCGCCACCCGCTATTCATGTGAAGTATAAGTCCGCGAGGCGTGCTTCTCGTGATCATAAGGTAAATTGGGATTCCCACGGTTCGACTTCGGGTCGGCACCCGCCGCCGTCACAACGCAATTGCTACAGCCCAGTAATGCGCAGATGGTGTCAGAGGGAAGAAGGGGGGAGGAGGGTGGCACGCACAGTCGATTAGCATGGGATCGTGTCGAGCGACGTCCATTGACTGGACACGATCGTGGGTGAGGGACTGCGACGCTATACGCGCTCAATGCGCGCGGAGAGCGCGGTCAGGGCGAGGTCGACGGGCGCGCTACGCAGGCAGGCGCCCCATCCTCTTTGCTGCCTTACCATGCCGATCTATGCGCTATTATCCGCGCGCGACGTTCCCCGCCCGCCACGCTCCTGGCCAAGCCCCAAACCATGACCCACCTCCCCTCACGACGCGTAAACCGCATCCAACACGCGTCAAAACCCCCCATCTCTCTTCCCAACACCCACTGGGGAAGAACTGCCAGCAAAAGCGTCGAAAAGCACGACCGCGAATCTCACTGCGCGCGGGCGGCGCGAACAAGCGAGAACGGAGGCAGGAAATCGAATCCTACGAGCTGATGAGAAGGAGGAGTTTGCCGCGCAGTACACGGGCTTTACACATTGCGAGAGGAAAGGGAGAAGGGTGGCGTCGGGGAAGAGGGTTGGCCAGGTCCATGGGGGCGGGGAGCGCGGAAAATCGTGTAGGATAGGAGGGAAGAGGGATGGAATATGACGGACAGGGCTATGAAACCCACAGATCGCGCAGGACGCGCATCGCGCCTGAAGGCGATCGGCCTCTCGCACGTCGAAAACGCGTCCGGACGCGTTGTGGGGAGCGGAAATAGAGAGATAATGGTGGGAAGGACTATTACGCGCCGTATAGCGAGCGGAAGGGCGGTCGAGGGAAGGGGAAGGGTAATCAAGGAGGGCGGGTTGGGGGAATGGGGGATGTTGTAGTAGACGTGCAGCAAACGTGCAGTGTGTCCGTTGAAGCGGCATTATCACACAGCCCGCACGCAAGCTTTGTCGTGCGAATCTGTGAGAGGGACAGGGAGGGAGGGGAGGGGAGGGGAGGGGAGGGGGAGCCGTGATGTTTCAAAGTTAGGGCTGCGGAGCATTTGCTGCACTATCCCCTTGACTGCTATAGTAGTCCTATATGGGAAGTTAGTACTCGCCACGGAAGATGGCGTAGCTACGTACCTGGGATACGCGCACTCGCGCTCGTCATCCCGCGCTGATCATCCTTGAAGGTCGCTCTTGAGGGTAGAGAGCAGGTAGATCCATTGATACGGGTGAAGATGAAAGTTAAGTGGTGGGTGAATAGCAGGAGCCAGCTGCGGGGGCCGTAGGGGAAGGGATTCAGCCGTCGTGAACGGAACCAGGCAAGCATTTGACGAGCGGTAAGATCGGCCCGAGCGAGCCGTTCCACCAGCGAAGTGCACGATCAGAGATTTTTATCAATGTCAGTAGCTACGAGAAGGTAGAGCAGGACTTCAAGATACAAGATCTACGCTCTGAAATATTTCCAGAAATTTAGACTATGGTGGGACAGCTAAAGACTCGCCTGTCGAGTTTTGTGGCTGTGCGTCGAGTGATGGGGCTGTGCTGACGGACATTGCCGGGACTGCACGTGCATGCACGTTGGCCAAGGCTTCACACTGACAGCACGTTGAAGGCTGAGACCTTAGGCAGTAGATGAAATTGGACAGAAGACTACGTCTGAACTTTTTCAAAGGAAAAGGATGACGATGAAGAGGGATATCGAACGACTGACCGTTCGACATCCGGAGATAACCTTTGATCGACCGCTTGGACGTCTGATCTTGCTGACGGTCCACCGGTGTAAGACGAGCCTGGCAAGCAGGTCTCGTAACAAGAGTGGAGGAACGAGTTCAAGCGTCAGGTATGAACATCATTGCCTCGTAAGGTTCCGATAGCTTACATATATCCAAACAGGACACGGTCGTGTTCCTTCAGAACTAGTTTTTAGAGGGCCAACGCTGCGCGCGGCATGCGGTGAGTTAGGAATGTCCCGCTCCTGCGTCACTTATCCGACATTTTCCCGTGCCGAACTGCTCCGCCGGAACAACCCGACCCTCGTGTACGTGAGTATGAACGATCTTGTGGGCTCGGCACCAAGGGCAGAGATAGAACACCAGGACCTATACCATCGCCTCTGTCTGCAATCCCTGTGATCCACAAGCCTCTGCGTACGTCGCTGCTGCCGGCCAAGGACGATGTAATCACGCACGCTCTCTATGGTCGCGTGCTTTCGGCAAATGCCGAAACACTCGGCAGCTTTGGCCCTCCAATTACACCGACACCCGACGCGATCTCAAGACATGTGTAGTGGACGTCCACTGGTCTCATCCGACGTGATCCACCTTTGGATACGTCTGTCCCTATTGAAGATTCCTTCCTCTCAAAGATCGAGCATTGAATTAATCGGCACCCCGTCTCCGTGGCTATTGCTATTGCTTCCTCCACAACATGCGCCGTCACCCTTTCACCAAGTAGCCAGTCGTCAGTCTCATGTCGTCGATCAGGTAAGACATGGCTTAGTTTTTGAAACTATCCACAATGAATTCTTTATAGGGGCACAACTGTCTGTTGCGCACCATGACCGTCTGCCCGCGCATCCCACTTGAAATCCTCTATCTCGTCGTACACAAGAGCGACAGGCCTACCCTCGCAGTTCTTCTGCGGACGACGACGGCGCTATCCCGTGAGGCGAAGCCGTTGTTCTTCGCGAGCATATCCGTCGCGTCCGCAGCGTCTATGGTGTCGCTTTCGCGAGCGCTTGCCCAAGGTCAATTCCAATCATCGTGGCTCCGTCGACTTCATGTGATTTATCCCCCTGTACACCTTCCCCCCTTTTCCAACGTGACAAGTCTTCGGTGGAGTGTCTCCCCGTTCAGTACAGGCGCCTTTTCGCCTTCTACGCTCCGCGACGCCATGTCCTCCTTCCCATCACTCGTCGCATTAGCGCTTTACGAAGGCCCTCGTACCTCACACGAACTCGACGTTGTGCTGTCCCCAGTTGCGCCTATGCTGCAGACGCTGGAGTTGACTTTTCACGCGTCCTTCGCGATCAGTACATCGACTTTTGGGGCGCACTTTCCTGCGTTGCGCGAACTTATCTTCGCCGACGGGTTTGCCTGTGACCTCGGCGCATTTCTTGGGACGTTCCGGGCGGTTCCTCCTATAGAGGTCCTTCGCGTACCGGCCTTTTGTTCGTGGGAGACACTGCGACGCATTCTGCCCCTTTTTGCGTCCAGCCTTCGCGTTCTCGACGTCGACGTTCTAACCTCAGTAGAGATGTACAGTGAGTGTCCTTAATTATTTCTGACGCACTCTGAAGCCTTTTCAGCCTTTTACCCCGTGCCCGCGATGGCGCGTCTACTATCTGTTCGATTCGAGGTTCGTCGCCCTTGGGACAACTTCCGACGTGAGCTATCATTCGTTCAAGACTTCATGTGGATCATGAGGGCCACGCAGGAACGTTCCTTCCCGGCGTTGACTACGGTTGACCTACATGTGTACGCGAAGTCGTGTCCATCCATGATGCTCTGCAGCGAGGAGGCATGCGCTTTGTTTCGTGAAGGGAATGGACCATCGGAGGTCAACTGGCCGAGGTGGTGTTGTCTCGTGTTAGGGCGCACGCTTTATCTCAACGTATTTATTTACTCGCCTGAGGTAGAACGAGGTCGTTTGAGATCGGCAGTCTCGAACCAGCTGTCCTTCTTAGGTTCGCGCTTGCAAGTACATATTCACGACGATTAAATATTGCAAGTATCAACTCAGAGACATGTTCAGGATGTTGAGAGGCGAGAGCGCCTTGCTGGTTTTTGCGAGGGTTACGCTTCAGTATCGAGTGGCACGACCGCGCAAACGAGCGAGGACAGTAAACATCAATAATAAAGAGCACAATACGTTGTACAATCACCGCATACACGATCTAGGGACTGCCGCTGCTCTCAATGAACACGCGAAATCTAGAGGGGGGTAAGAAGCGCAAGCAATTGCGCACGGCGTCCAGGAGGTCGTCCGCCCTTTTCCCGTTGAGGGCAAAGTCGACGATGACAACTATCTCCAACGAGCACGTCTTCCCCAGCGCCTGGTGAACCCAGACGTGCCAGTCTATCATGTTTAGGCCATCCCCCGAATCGAAAAGCGCGAAGCACCAGTTGCCAGCCAGCGCAACAGCGGACATCCGCTTCGTCATCACCCTGATCCGCAGCTTCTGCAGCGCAGCGAGGTTGCCCTTCCCTCGCTCCGTATGCAAGAAATCGGCGAGACTGTGCCATTCGCGTCGCTTGTTGTCATTCCCACGTCTCATGTCCACTTTGAGAACGCGCAAGCGCCGAAGTGTGTCCGCCGCCGTGTTAGCTTGAAAGCGGTCAGAGCGGAGGTGGCAGTAGGCAGAGAAAGCACACCTAGAGGTTTCATGGACGCGTTCGCGGGGAACAGGCCTAGTCCGAGCTCCGTCACCATTGGAGGCGTGACGGACAAGAGGTCGTTCAACGATGCCCAGGATAGACCCTGCATAAAGTTCAGAGTTGTGATCCCGGGCGCATTCCGTCGAAAGTACTCGGCGGAGAATGTGGAGAACTGCGCGAAGAAGTGATGAGAAATGGTTAACTGCCGCAAGTCGGGGTAGGCCGCGACACTCTCGGCCAAGAAGAAAGGTGAAGACATGGTCTTGAGCGATATAGTTAGGCTGCGAAGTCCCGGACTCGCCAGTTGAAGCCCAATGTCGACGTCGCGAAGGCCATACGGCCTGGCGCTCATGTGAAGGTGCACAAGACTTGGGAATTGCGACAGAAAGCGTGGAAGGCGTTGTTGAATGTCCACGGAGCGGGACGGAGCGCTTTTGGTGCACCAGTCGATGGTATGGACTTTTGTGAAGGCAGGGCCCACCGCCAAGAGTTCGTGGTGATGGATGACGAGCTCACGCACGAAGGGGGCGATTACTGAGGCTTTCATTGCCATACAGCGGTAATCGGAGGCGCTCCGAACGTGAACCGTTCTGTAGAAGAGTGGCAGGGCGTAGTCGAAGTGAGAGGACGCGCATAGGAATGCAAGGATGGTGTTGCGGTCACAAAAAGAGATTATGAGGGGGAAGAGCTCCACAAAGATTGTCGGTCGAGGGGCCAGCTGGGTTTCCGCGGAGTTCACTGTCAGAACAATTAGCGCAAGGCCCAGCGAGGAATAAGGGACGCACTGATGGCCTTTTTCCAACTTCCGTATGGCCGCCGGATGTTCAGCAATGGTTATATAAGTCGTAATGAGAAGGGCGTGCCGTCGAATGAGACGCGGTCCTGAAGAGTCTAGGTAGGACCCCAAGCCCATCCGAAGTAAGACATTGCGGAAGCGTTCAAGGGCGCAAGCAAAAGGAGTGGGTCGTACGCTCGTGCAGGCGTAGACTACGCCCATCTATACAGCGAATGGCAGAAGGCCCGCTCCGTGGCGCACGGCAGAGAGAGCCGATGAGTGTTGACGCGCAGCCCGTCGCCAAAGACTATCGACGCCCATGTAGAAAACACCGTCTGAGTACGCGGATGCATCCGGCAGTTGCGTAGGGCTCACATCGCTGTTTGTCGGGACCGCTCTCGTCGAGCTCTTCCGTATACGGCAGCCACCGAGATCAATTTGGGGCTGTCCCGGACATTGCACTGGACGTACGCGAGCGGAAGCACGGGCGAAAGAAGTAGCAGAGTCCAGAGCACGCGCGGCGTTGGAAACGAGGTCTAAGACATGAGACCTTGATCACAGGCTGCGCGTCTGCTCGTCGGCCTCGGCCACGGGGGAGATGCCTCGATGGGTTGTACTACCGCACATTCAGGGTTAGCGGAGGAAGAAAGGAACATGTCTAAAGATCAGCAAGAATCGGGCGTGAGGCGGGGAGACGCACGCTATCAGAAGGTGCAGTGGGTTGCAGTGTATCCGATCGTTTGCTGTAAGGCGT